ACCCTTGTACTTACCTTTTTTTCTTTTTTTTTTTTTTTAAAGTGTTTTAGTTCTTTATACAATGTTAACTGCTAAAGCAAACACATAGAAGCCAGCAATTCCCATTGTGCAACGCATCTCTTGAGCGTTTGTTGCCTACAGCAGCTACTTAATGAGCAAGTTTGTTTTCAGTAGGTTGAATCAATTAAAGAAATTCTTCAGTTTAATAAACTGATACCCTACCGCTCACCCTAGAATACTCCTTTTGTGAGCAAGTGCTCTACATCATCCTCCTATGTTGCTTTATGTTGGTGCCCCTAGCTCCCAAGAAGCATGGAGCTAAAATGAAAATGCTGAAGAGTTTCCAGCATGAAGCTGCTTGTCCATGTAACTATGTCTGCTGCTAATAGCTTTCCATTACAGCCATAGCACATGTTTTGCTAATCCATTAAAAATGTTTGGCTGGAATTTAAAACACCGCTGCAAACACACTGGTTTTCACGTTGAGATCAAATTGTCAGATTCCAAACCCTTTAAACCTCCGTAAGTGACAAGGTGGGCCATGTTACAACAGCTATTACCTAAGGGAAGCATTGAACTTATTGCTTGGATCCTCCTTGGGGTTTACCTGTGAAGTACTTTCATGAAAATAAGACTGCCTCTGCCCATTTCTGGTACGAGTGTGAGCTCCGAATTCTGTAAACCAGGTTCTACAAAGGGCTTGCTGTATAAATCTCTCCACTAACCAGCATTGCCTGCGGTGCTGCAGCTTGCTTGAAGAGATGAATGCATAGGTAATTAAGCTTGAAATTTCTGACAGATCTTATATTAAAAAAAGAAAATCTTAGAGAAATCTCAACAAAACTAAGAGTATATGCAATGCCTTGAATTTCACGCTGAGGTGCCTGATTTGTTTGTTCTAATGTATTAGAGAAAACCCACAGTAAACTCACACTAAAAGTTATAGAAAATATATTTGAAGTGTCATTTTATTTAGACATTGCCCTGTGCCAGAGCCGCTATCCACAGACCACTCAGTTCCAAAGCCATATGCAAATGTACGTTACAATTAATTAACTGACAACCTGCAAGCGTAAAGATAGGGTAGATGAAGGATTTGGCCGAATCTGAGTTTCTCAGATATTTTTAGAAGAATTTGGTCAGCATTAAGGCCAGTAAACATAGGTGTGTAAAAATGCAGGTGTCTACATGTGAGCCAGGGTCCATGTGCCTGTTAAAGTCAGTGAAGCTTAGACAGCCAAGCACCTCACGTGGCAGTGGACACCTACTCACTGGCCCATGAAATCTCACCTTTGCTCCGCTGTCTGTAGAGAGTTGAGCCTGATTCAGCTACTTGCTCATAAATCTCTGCTGCCCTTTCAGATGCTCTAAAGCATCCCATGAGACAAGCACTGGCAGCTGCATGAATATCTCCCAGACTTGCACCCTATCTGCCCCCCCCCCCCCCCAGCACTGGGTGGATGTCCTAGACACTCGACATCCCAAGCAGTATCAAACACCCGAGAGTAAAGAACGGAGCAGAGCCCTAAATCCATTCAGATTTTAATAGCAGTGTGGAGGCACAGCTCACCTGTAGACACCTGCATTTAAGGGTTTAACCTTAAACAGTGTCTGAAGCTGATGAACAGAGGGAGAGCAATTGCTGCTTCTTCCTTGAACAGCATCTTAAAAAAAGAAGCCAACAAAATACAGCAAAATCCTCCACCAGAAATCATCTAGTTTATTTTTCTTCATAGGAAATATTCGCTTTACTTCTATCCCTACTTATTACTGGTTTAAATAGCAGTTAATTAATGAAACAGCAAACAAAATCAAATGAGACTGTTCAGATTCAGTTGCACATCACAGCTCCATGATGCCAGGTGGGGAGAAAGGCCCAAAATTAAGACAAAGTTCTCTCTACAATTCTCATAACATTGCAACTTTACTATCATTTAGCAAATGAGACCCTTTTTATACAAGATCACAAGCACAGAGAGGGCTTTTATTGTGCAAGTTGCATTTACACAGTGCCATCTTGTGTTGCTAGAGGATACTCAGTTTTGCTGAACTTGAGCCCAACGTGCTCCAAATACTTTAGTAAGGATCAAAATACACAGTTACAACAACATTCATAAGGTGAGTTGCTGTGTCGGTTCCCCTCCAGGGGAAGGAGGAGGAAGGAGTTTGTGTCGCTCACATTTGTCAACTGAAATTAATAAATGCAGGTTTGAAGGAGCCTTGTTAAACGGGGCCTTTAACAAGGGTGAGAAACAGCTTCAACTCTGCAAGAGTTTCAACTTCAGCTCTTCGAGCTCCACTAAATCTGAAATTCCACTCGCTGTTTTCTCACAGGCAAGAAATTTGGCACAAGCTAATGAAATAACCCAGTTTTTCACAGACATCTTGTGAGTTGAGAAACTTTCACCTGTGACAAAAGATTTGGTGTCTCTGTGCTTTTCAGGGCTGGTGTTGGGGTTTGTGGGGATCTGGAATTTACGGGGGGGGGCTGGAGAGACTTCTTCACATTCTGATGCTGCCTACCATAAAAGAAGGCTGAAAACTAGACAGTATAAAGGGACATCAGCACCATCTCCCTTAGGTATGGGCCTTAACTGAGAGTCAGATTTGCACTGCACTTAATTTGGGTTCCTATTCTGAGTAGCTGTCCTGGGTTGAGTGAGTGGTGGAGTTTTTTTGGTGGCAGGGGAGGGGGCTATCGGGGCGGCCCCCTGTGAGAAGCTTCTCGAAGCTCCCCCAGCTCCAAGCCAGCTCCACTTCTGTTTGGGAAATTGAGCCAATCAGCTGCGCCTCTGCAATAACGTATTTAAGGGACGTGGTGACGGGCAGTTGGACTTGTGAGGAGGAGTTGCTGCAGCTGCATGAACACCAGGGTCAGTGGAGGAACGGAGGAAGAAAGGAGGGGGGAGGTGTGCCGGAGCAGAGACCCCCCTGTATCCTGTGGTGAGACGACAGGGCGGCCCCCCCTGCCACCCATGAAGATCTACAGTGGAGCAGACATTGATTTGAGGCCTGTTGTTCCTGCTCAGATGATCAAGGTGCTGTGCCCGAAGAAGGCCGGGGTCTCATGGGAAAAGGCAGCCCCGCTGCTGTAATTCAGCGCTGGGAGGATTGCAGCATGCGGGGGAGTCCCACGCCGGAGCAGCTCGGGAAGGGCTGCAGCCGTGGGAGGGAATCCAGTCGGAGGAAGTTAGTGACCCATGACGGAGCAGTGTGGGGAACGCTGCGGCCCATGGGAGGAATTCAAGTCGGAGAAAGTTTGTGGAGGACTGTCTCCTGTGAGAGGGGGACCACGATGGAGCAGGAGGAACAAGTTCCGGAAACTCCCCTCACTGAAGATAAGGGAAGTGGCAGCGCTGACTGCACCCCCCATTCCCTGCCCCTGCGCCCCTGGGGGAGGAGGTAGAGATATCGGGAGAAGAGCTGATCCCGGGAAGAAGGGAGGGGTGGGGGGAAGGTGTTCTCAAGATGTGGCAATGCTTCTCACTGTCCTACTCTGTTATGTGTTGTTAGTGTCTGTAATAAATGTATGGTCTTTTTTTCTTCCCCTAACGAGTCTGTCTTTTGCTCGTGATCATAAAAGGGGGATTTTTCCCCATCCCAGCCCTATCTCGAACCCCAAGCCTGGCTCTCTGTCCCTTCTCATTGCCGGAGGGGAAGGGAGAGAGAGCTGCTGCATTGTGGTTGGCTGCCAATCAGGCCTAAACCACAACAGTAGCTCTCCGGGAAGTAATCTTCTTCCAAAAGCAGCGGGGAGGACTCGAGGCTCCCAGAGAGCTGTGTGAGCAGGCAGTGTGAACATCTCTCCATAGACTGTATTTGAGGACAAGGGTCTTCAAACCCCAGAGTTCTCACCTGTGGCCTACTGTGCCGTTACTTACCACAATAGTGGAAACCAAATTAAGTATCTTTACCAGTCCACTTCATAGGAGACACTTTCACCGAATATCAAAAGCCAAGTCTGTCACAAAGTTTGTTGAACAAGGAGCTTGGCGAGTTTGGGTTGATGAGGCATATTAGATTTTTTTGCTTGTTTGTTTTTAAACAGAATTTAAAAATAATGTTTGGCACTTTGCAACGCAGCATTTATTAGCAGCGAGTTCCTCGCCGCAAGGCAAAACCCATCTATTCAGGGGATAGATCAATAAACCAAAGCAAACCAGAAGGCAGGCGGAGTTACAAGCAGAAGTTACAGGAGGCCTAGACAGGTGAAGTTCTCCCACCACACTGAAACAGAATGATCTTCCCCCTTGCTATCCCAGCTATTGCAGCCATGATGTCTTCCTAAGCTGCTAGCTCTCCTATCATCCCCGAGACCCCCTGAGAGGAAGAGGTACTCTAATCTGTTTTGGCACCCTCATTGTGGCTCCTCATGGTGTCACCTACAAGCTCAAACTTAGAGCCCCACTGCTCTCCTACACCTCCCAGCTGTCCCATTCCTTGGTTTCATCCACAAAATGCTCCCCCAAATTCCTCTGATTCACATTCCATGTTTTCTTCACTGCTTCCGAGGATGTAGACACAGAAAGGTACATAACTGGGCATGAAAGAATCTGGGGAAGCCACTGGCCAAAGTAATTTGAGAGGCCCCAGTGAAAAACAAACAACGCACATTCCAGCTGCATTTTCAGGAGCAGAACCTAGCCCAAAATATTTTCAGCATGTCATTTCTAGCCACAGCAGAGAAGTTCTGGGGAACTTCCACCTCGCCCAAATTGTTGTGCTTCAGGGATGAGAACAAAGAATCGGTCTCACCACTTGTATTAAATGCTGAAGGGAAAGAGCATGAGGAGCTTGATGGGAGAACTATATACAAAATTTGACATCTACTGTAAAGGAACAAATAAAACCAAGAACTATTGTTCTTGCATGTATTTAGGTGGACATCTTAATCCTTTCATAAAAAATATTTTCCCAAGATGAAATTCACACAATTTTATATTTCAGGAAATCACCTTAGACACATTTTGATGGATGAAAGAAAAAAAAAAAACTTCTAATAAATGCAACATCAGAAATTTTATTTACAAATATACTGTAATTCAACAACCATTCTCCACTCAGTTTGTGGAGGAAAAAGTGATAGTTACATTTTCCAAATGGGAAAAGAGAACTCTTCCCCTTAAATAGATTCCAGAGATATTATGCCAACACCACTGAGCAAACAGATTATTCTTTGTATTTGTTTCAAAAAAGCACATAATTTTAGAAACCAGCATATGGAAAGCAAACACATTTGCGTGCATTTAAATGCAGCTTCATATTAACCTAGAGAATTCACTTTCAGTATATGTCAAAAATAAAGACAGCAATTGCAAATATATATTTATATTAGCTATTTCTCTAATGCTCATTTCAAGAGCTTAGAAACAAAATACCCTCTTCATATACCATTGGAAAGCCAAATAGTTGATTATAAGCCTCAAAAATATTTTGAAGTTATTACTGAAAATATACTTATTCTCCCATTGTGCTCTCAGTACTTGAAGCTGAAAAAGTGAAAGCATTTTCCCCAGATATTTCCTTACTGCAATTACTTTCTTATAAATAAAAATAGTTATATGAAGAATACAATGCATTGCTATGAAGACTAGACAAGCAAGAGTTACTCTTAGAAAAAACACACATACACACAATATATATATTTATAGATCTACATCAGCAGCAATCACCTCTTCTTCTATCTGCATCAGTGGCTTCATATCTTCATTTGCTTCACATGGAGGTTGGTTGTCCAGCTGTTAGAGAGATACAGAAGAAATTGTAATTAAAGCCTAACTGCTGAAGAATCTTAGTGACAAAAATTAAAATTTCCGAGTTAAAAATTGTCAGATAATGATATTTCCAAAACCTATTGAAAATGGTAACACAAACTGAGGTATACATTCTGAATCTAGCAATCCAAATTTAATGAACAATACAAATTTAAGCTTAATCCAATTATAGCACTTAAAGTATTTCAGGCCAAGTAATATTTAACGGAACATGCACCTTACCAAGTTTCTAAGAATTATTTTTAGTATTAACATAGAGACAGGGTGACAGTTTTTTCTAAATTTACCCTTCAATAATCAAATTAAAATTTGCTAAATAACTGTAACAATATTAAAAAATAACTTTTTTATCCTCTCTGCATATGTTTGTGGGCATCTGCCAATACACTGGTGTTTCACTACAATGTTCCAAGTTTAAACCACAAAATTAGCATAAAAATGTGCAAAAACATCACACCATAGAATTACACAGTGAAGATTAATAATCTTACAGTTTATCAAACATTTTAGCCAATATGTTCACGTTCCAAACTAATGAATAATTAGCCAGGCTGATGTCAAATGCTGACAGACCAGTGCTGTGCTGTCAGTGTATTTTCATTGCAGTAATTACATAGCTGGTTTTCATATTATTCAAATAGCTGATTTCAATTACTAATCACTATTTTAAATACTTTATTCTCTACCTACAACTTCTAACAATTCCTGATTTACTCATATCTCAGGCAATTATATTTTGAGGTGCCCACTGGCCCAAGTAGATGCAGTCTGAAGGGAAGGGAATAGAACCGTTTCCTCACAGATCAACTCTGCTTCTGAAAGGCACTGCTGTGACTTTACGGGCTGTAATGCCAAAGAGAGACTAAACAGCAATTTATCCATAATAAAATTTTGGGTTACTTCCGTCACCAAATTCCTGAATACTGTCTTGGAAGAGAATAATAAAAAACAGGTGTTTTTTTTCAGTACCAAAGTTATTCAACTCATCCAGCATTTTTTCCCCCAAAAAGAAAAGATAAAATAACATGAGCGGGCTCCAGATTGCATCTCCCACACATCTGGGTACTTCAGATAGGAACACGGTCACGTCGGTGTAGTCTCGTCATCAACGAGAGAGGTAAATTCTCCTAACAGTAACTCAGAGAGATATGACCCAGTGCTCAGGATCACCTCCAGATGGAAGGGGGGTGATTCTCTTCCTCCTTGCACCGATCAGTGGCATCCTTGCACCTAACATTAGCCTCAGTGAACGCACTGTTAGCGCCAAGGATAGGTGTGGGGTTTTCTGGTTTTAGTTCAGGCACCAACAGTCATTTCTGTGGTGCAGGCAGCTTTTCCTCTTCCTGGAAGCCAAAAAGAACCTGAAAACAGCAACAGCATCAGATGCAGAGCTCCTCTTTTTCTGAGCTAGGCTTCTCAGCCAGCAGATGCCCAAGTCCTGCTCAAGTATTGTAGCATGAGTATCGTGTTCCCTTCACTGCCTTCTGGTCCACCATGAGAAAAATGTGCCGGGCTCACGAAGAAACACGGACATATTTCCCAGGAAGGAATTCATAGATGCTTTCCCTTAGCTAATTTTTATAATTCTAGAGAATTCTCTATTTGCTACATAAAAACAGAGCCATATAAAACTCTCAAGTCTTGTCACAATTAGGAGATTGTCTACCATCATCTATGACAGCAGAAAAAACCCAAAAAAACAACAAAAAAAACCCAAACAAACAAAAAAACAAACAAACAAAAAAAAAAAAACAAAAAAAAAAACAAAAAAACAACTCAACAACACTATTCAAAACCTTAATATCATGCTCCAGTAAATCAGAATTCTGCAAACCATAATAAAGGAAAAAAATTATACTGCACCTTTTAATTAAGATCTGTAAGTAAATCAATTCCTCCTGAACTTGTACCTAAATGAATAACCAATCACAGACCTATAATTCAAATAACAGCATCGCAAAAAGAAACCAGCATTTGTGCCACCTGCACAGGATAAACTAATAACTTTCCAGGTATGCGTTAGGACTGAATTAAATACATATTCAGATTACTTTTTTTTTTTTTTTTTTTTAATGTAGACAATTTTTCAGAAAGACTTCTCTGTTATCAAGACAAGCCTGTTCAGCAACTGACAACTCCTTGACACCAGTTTCTCAGATCTACGAAGAAAGCAGGATGACTATACCACATTGTCTGAACAAGGTGGTAAAATCAGCTACCAGTAAGTTAAAAGTTAGGAATGGCTACCCTACAAAAGACAGAAACTGGGAATCAAACCTTGCTGAACCTATTCATTAATATACCAACTTAAAGCTAAACATGAAGGCTATCAAATGACTCAGCTGTGCCAACACCTGAGGTTGGACAGCACAGAAAAGAAGTATGATCATGCACACTGCAGTTGAATTGCCTTACTTTTAAATCTGATATAGCAGTCATTGCAGAAGAGCTTGTTGTTTCGGATCCTAACTTCAGCTCCAGAGCGGGATCCGCCAAGGTCGCATCCACAGGCAACACACTGTACAATAGATGATTAATTAGCAACTACTTACAAAATATTAAGAAATGAAAATGCTATTCAAAAGCAGCTTGGATTAAGCTCAGCAAAGCTTGAACCATAAACCCACAATCACTAGAAGCAAATGTATAATGATTAGTAGATCAAAATGCATCGAACTCCGAGAAAGTATTTTGAGGCGACAACTGGACAACAAATAGCAGAGATATGCCAACTAAGCAAACATAAAGCAGACAGTTTTTAGAAATTAGTTCATTAAGTCTAATTTGAACTTCGGTTTCTCTGAAAATGAAAACTGGCTCAACGTGAAAAAAAACTGTTTTCTAGACGGCAACAGCAATTTTGGCACAGAACACCTGGGTGTGCTATTTGCAGATTTCCATGTGGCACTGTATGCTGCTGGTGTCCTCAGACCTTTGGGACTCAAAGCAGCAAAGACTCAGGCACCCCAGTTTCTTGGTTTTGCATCACAGAAACACGATCTTATTTGGACAGAAGGGGATGATTCCATTGTTCTTGAATAAACACATGAATAAGGGGCTTGATAGTTTTCATGCTAACGTCAAACTATTTAACTACATTGGCTGAACACCTCTTTGCTGTGAATATGAACCAACTCTGGAAGGAATATAACCCAAAACATAACACTTTCCTTACTGAATTTACAAAGCCAAGTATTCAGCTGACTACAGAAGGACAGATAGTTTGCCTGCTTAAATGAGTAATGAATCCTCTGGATGGCAGTCTGTTCAACAGTTCATTAATCTTCAGGAATTTGAAAAACAGAAATTTGGTATTTTCTTATGTAGGTTAGGAGCTACAGACGTACTTCATCTGACAGAATACATATTCTGCAGAAAGGGAATGACAACCAGTCCCCATGGATTGCTCCTGTCCATCCTGCTCAGGCAGGCAGGACCAGGAAAAGCTTCGAGTTGATCCCTTGTAATACGCCAGGTGAAGCATTTGAGCTGGGCACAGAAGATAAGTGTTCTGAACCAGACACAGGAGTCTCTTTCTTTAAGCCATGGAGGAAGTCCAGCGGCACCTCCAAATCAGAGTCTAATTCCTAATCTGGTCCTAGGGCAGGGGAACTAGGAGTGCTTTTACGTCTTTTGCAGGCAGGCACTTATTTTTTCAGCTCTGCATATGCTTCAAGCTGACTGGAAATCAGGTAACTATGTCTCAGTGCTGAGCATGAGCTAATACACTTAGCTTCTGACCAGGATTGAGTAGCACTAAACACAGCTTCTGGTTTGGTGCTGGGTTTTATCCTGCCAGGTTGAACACTGCCAGCATGCCTTTGCCTGGAAAACACCATGTGAACACTATCTGCTAGGATTAGCTTAGAAATGATGGGTTATCTTAAATGATTCAATTGCCAGGGTGCAGGCTGACTTTTTTTTTTTTTTTTTTTTTTTTTTTTTTTTTTTTTTTTAAGGAGCTGCTTTCTCTGGAAAAAGTGGCTCAGTACTGTCTGATTTTTTGGTGCCTATTTGAAGAAGGAAGAACATTGATCTCACAGTCAATGTGCCCATATTACTTATAAAAATCCTACTTGTTAGCTCTGGCATTTAAGAAATACTTCTAGAGTTAAGTGCTAAATGCCTGCAGATAGGACTGCCACATGGAAATATGCATGCACCACGCTGTCAAGAGTAGAAGGCAAAGCAGGTGATTAGTAGAGCCCCTGGTGAGCATAACATTGAGTAGCCATGCGTGCTCCTGATTAGTTCCTGTTCCTTCATGATGTAACTCCCAGCTCTCACCTTAAAGCAATGTAAATGATAACAAAGACCAAGAGACTCAATGATCATGGCTGCTCCTTTGCCCAGAACGTTATTACAGTATGAACAGATTTTCTTCCCACTGACTGACCTAAATATAGAATGAAAATCCTTAAAACCAGGATTTATTTAAAAGACAAAGAAAAGTTATCAAAGACTTTTTGAGATTAAAAATAAAAACATAGTGTTAAAAAGTGGACTATTAGGCTTCTTGGGGAAAATAAACTGAAAATTAATATTATTTACAGTAGATCTGAAAGTTAGGGAGAGCTTTAGTGTTATAATTTAGATCAAAGTTACACAGGAACAACTGAAGAAATTCTGTCGCATTCTTGGGAGATACTTCATTGTATAAAATACCTTCTACAAATAACCATAAAAAGTATATTGTTAAGTTTGGAGAGAAAGAACACAGGTTTTGTGCTCCTGCCTTATTTCTTATTTGTGGGGAATTATCCTGAAGGCTAAGTGTAGCAAGTACCCCTGCCAAGTCCCACCATCTGCACCTTGTTAGATAACAGAAGGCTGGTCCTGGACATATAATATTATGTTAACTCTTTGAACATAAGCCATACAGAGGTCAGTTTCCATAGATTTACCAAGTTGTTAGCAAATGGAAATGAGAATAAGATAAGCAAACATGGCTAAGAAGGTAATTTTCTTACATTATAAAGAATGTAGGAGCCTAGCTTTAAAAAAGGGGTCAATTTATCATGAAGTGCCTGAGAGTGTAAGAGCTAGTGAAGCAGTGTTCACACTGTTGTTATATACAATACATGTAATTGTGTGGGGATGATTCTTGATAGTCTTATACCAAGGTATTTTTAAAATGTTTCAAGTACATAAAACAGCAGAGTTATCCACCCTACCACAACTGAATTCCATTTTTGTTTCAAAATATGTTGCAATTCTTGCTTTCTCCTCCTAGATTAAAACCAACATCCTACTCTAATTCTCCAGGGTCACGGGTTATGAGCATTCCTGCGCGCTCCTTGAGATGATATTGACCACATGCCAGGAAAGGGGGAGGAGAGACCAAGATGAGATCCACAAAGTGTGGGTTTCAGGAATCTTTTGTTAAAACAAACTTAAGAAAATAAATGTCAGAAATGCCATCTGGAGTAGGCTTTTACTAATCATTTTGGTAACCAACATACATCTTGGAGACTGGAGATTTATTATTCCAGTTCCTTTGTTTTCTTAACAGATGTCAAGCAGTGATGGCAAACCTGGGGAATTTTCTGAATGACTGGAGAAGGGAGGTAACACCAGCCCATATTTCCACTGCCCCACCCAGCCAGAAAACTTCAGGTACTTTTCAGACTTGCTAATCAATGTTATGGGCAAGAACACTGGTGTAGACCACCATATATACAAAGTCCACTCTTTAGGGCAGCCCTACATTTATATCTCCCCAGCAGAAGGGCACTCACTCACCTGCTGCGTGTCTGGGACCCTGGCTGGGAAGCAGAGAGGGGAGATTGAGCCCGAGGGGCTGCCTGGGACACGGAGGGGGCTCTCGCAGAGGCAGCCGCAGGAGGTGCTTTGCTGGAGGAAGGAGTGCACATGTAGGCTCGGTTTGAAGTGGACACCGGACGACTGAAATCTTGACTAGAAGCTAGAGATGAAGAGGAGGCAGACTGGTTCAGCCACGAGTGGTGCCTCCATGAGCTCGTTCTTGAAGAATCAAGATTGTCCAAAGACTCCCCTCTGTAACAGAGGTACACATACAAATGTAAATGGCAGTAAGGCTGGAGCAGAACTATATTCTGATTTTTTAAAAAAGAAAACCATTTTCCTAGCACTTTTAAGATTTTCTATCATGAATATGATTGTCTGATCACCCTGTGCAATATTCTTCATATACTGATTTAAAACATTTGAGCAGCAATATCCTTTGTGTCCAAGTCCTAGTTTCATGGGAAAATGCACGTGAGGCGAAAGAGAGGTGGCACTTAACCACTACAGAATAAAGGCAAAACACTTCACCACAGCCTTATCAGGGTGAACCGTATCAAAATCCGCTGTACAGAAACGGACCTCAGATACCAGGTTTGTTTTTGTTTTCTCCAAGGGATACTAGATCAAAAATAACAATCCACCCAGACTGGATAGCATCGTCTAGGTACAAGGTGTTGGCCCAATAGCCAAATGTTCTCCTGACTGATAACTAGGCTGTTTCCTAAGAGACAAACCCAACATTCATACATTACTTAAAGCAAGAAATAAGCTCCAGACTATCTGACATATTTCTATGTAAACAAAGGTATACTCCTTAGCAATAATAATTAATTTCCACAATAAATTGTCATTCTGAAATTCTTAAGCATATCTGTCAATGACAAGGCACACTATTGATTTCCATTGCTGGTATACCAACCAAGAAACAAGCAGCTGAGTTATTTTCAGGTCTCATCCACATTTTTTACTTAAAAAAAATATAATCCCAGATGTAATACAGCTACTTTCTTCAGTCTGTGCTGCTATGCAGTTTACCTTACAGCATTTCACAAACTCAGTTTGTTTCTGTGCTCTGTAACACAAGCTGAAGTTTAGAACAACCAAACAAAAATATTTGATGAGAGTCAAAGTTAATTTTTAACATGATTTCTACCTCCTCATACTATTGCTGTACAGACTAATGGGCTCCTTATGTATACTGGAACTGCGCTGCCTAATCCAGCTGCTGTCCGTGTGTAGAGATGTTTTCTTTCTCATTTCCTGAAGGATTTGCTGTCTCTCCAACTCTGCCGCAGACAGGCTGTGCTCCTTCTGAGGCTTCTTCTGCGACTCACTCGCGTTGCAGGACCTCTCTGGATGTTTGCTCTGGGTATCTGTGTAGACAACATGTGCAAAATTTATCTAGACACCTTAAGGCACAAAAGCAGTTATCATGCATTCGGTACTCTGGCTATAGCTCCAAAAGCAGTCGTTCATCACAACATTCACAGAGTTATTCCAGTTCCTTTTTTTAGCCAGGTGACCAGTATCAAACTTGGCAATACATCATTATTATTATTACAATTTTTTTATTAATGTTTACATTAATGTGGCCTTTTACACGATGCTTAACTTAACTACAAGTAGGTATTTTCCTTCATGTCTCAAGTGCATACACACATGCATTTGTGTATACATATATATACACACACATGTATTTTTTTAAAAGGGCATGATCTCTTTCCGTGACACAATTTGTATGTTTCCTCCAATACAAACTGAATCAAGTATAGAATATTAGTTGAATGGTGCAGTACCTTCTTTCCCTTTAAGAGTTCATATTCTTTATCTGTAATTTGTACCCATTTTAAAGAAATAGTTCCTTATTCAACGCACTAAACACATTGCTTTATGTCACTTTATATAAATATTTATGTATTGAGGCAGGGGGGAAGAGGGAAATCTTACAGAGAGTTTCTCTTTTGTTTGGGTGTTGTGTTAACTAGTCAGTTGAAATGAGATTTATGGTATAGATGGCCTTTGCAATTTTGGAAGGGGGGAAACAAACAATCCATCTTTCTCCAATACCTGTTGACGTGTTAGAAGGCAACATTTTTTTTTTTTTTATTTCCTAGATTCAGTAACTATTCCTTACAGTAGGACCAATTAAGAAAATTACTCAGCAATAAGTAATTCAATTGAAATTTCAATCTCTTTAAATACTGCTCTGACTGTAGATTTGTTCTTGGTTTTATTGCTATAGATTACCATTATAAACCATTATGGAAGTTTACTCGCTCATTAGTTTCAATGACCAAGCTTTAATGTGTGAAAGCAATGTTGTCAATCTGCAATATATCCTCTAATACACCATTTACTTTTCTATGATGTCTTCTGATTACTTTTTTAAACCATGTTTTAGACACAGGAATAGCTTTCAGGCATTTTCTACTGTAACATTTATAAATCTGGTTTGTTTGCTTTACACACATTCCTCTAAAAATGCAGTAACATAACTGAAAGACAATTCAAGAAAGGCAGCAAGGAACTGGAGTCCAGGAAACACGTCACCGTGACTGTATCGAAAGCTGACTTCTAGCTGTGTTACTCCTACACACTAGCAGAAGTTAAAAAGAGCAAACAGTTGTATTTAATACCTTAGCATCTTGGTATGTGCAGCTTTTTGTACTGACAGAGTCAACATATCAAGAACACATACATCTTCAATGATATACCTACACAATTGGTTTAATCTCATATAAATGCCAGTAAACTAAAATTTAGGCATCTGAGATCTGTTTATAATCACTGTTATGGTCTTCAAGAGAGCAGCTAATCATATTTGTCCTAGGCTGTCCTAGACTGAGTGTATGATTTTCCTCTTGTTGTTGAAACTTCATTAAATTGTGGCATGGTATGAATTTGAATTATGATGCAGCTATCAAAAAGCACTTTGACAATTTATTTTATTATGATGACTAGTTCCAATATACCTTTTTTTTTTTTTTTTTTTTCAAAAAAGGGACATTTAAAAAATAATGCAAATTAAACACTACTTGCCATTTCCGATTGTGTTGAATTCATTCAGTTCTGAGGTCGACTTGGACTTATTCCTAAGGATACAGAAAACATGAATGTCTCTATCTTACCTATTAGACCTTGTCACAGACAAAGATCTTACCACTGCAAACCACAGATATACAGCCCCTTTTTTCACCATCCGTCCCATCAACAACTTATGCTGTACTTAAAACAAGAGGAAAAAATACCCAAGGACCAACAGGATACTATGGGGAAAAAAAGATGTCAATATTTAGGTGTCAGTAGGTAAGCACTGATTAAATCTTAAAATTATGTACTGAAAGTTCCCCGTGTATTCTTCAGGTATAAGGGACCAATCATTGTATTTGCTTCAACAAAATCATGTAAAAATCAAAGTCCTTCCCTATGGAAGCTTTGTGGGGACTACAGTCAGACAGTCAAACAAGTGGTAACTTTCAGAGCAGGTTTATAAATTATTTAACTTCATGAGAAACTTAAATCATACTTCAGCACCGTTACTAGACTGTAAGCAAAACACCTCCTCAAACACTACATGCAGATTGTTCTTATGAAATTTATTATTCGCCGATTATACCCAGAAGCATAATTTTTTAATACGTTTTTTGCCAAGAAATATAATTCAATATACAGGAAGACAAATGGCAAAAAGCCGGTTTTCTGACAGTAAAGAGCAGGAGTTTGAGCAACACCTCTGTGGTGTATTATTAGTCTCAAGTAATACAGACAGTTTCTGAGTTTAAAGTGCCTCAGAAAGGAACAGAAATCCTTTTCTGTGTCACGACTCAAAGCTGCTACATTAGTGTGTTTACACATACAGCACTGGCTGCATAACATCATTTTGAGGGAGCCTTGCCCTTTGTCTATAGATTAATGATGCGTAAACTGTGTCACATTTCTTGCTCCCCCAAGTTCTGATTGTTCTATGCACCAAGTTCTATGGCACATACCTATTTTATTATCTGTTTGAAAAGACGCAACAATTACAGACGCTTGTAATAATTAGGAGCTCCAAAGAGCAGGTCAGCCTTGCTTGGGATGCTTTTAGCATCTGAGTATCCTCCTCACACATATATCCAAGATGTAACTATTTAATGCAGGCCCCTTCTGAAGATAGATTTAGATCTTCCATTACTTACAAATCTATTAGTTGTACCCTGTAAGTTCTGGGGTTCCTCTTAATATCAAAAAAAGTATGCTCACTCCAACTATAAGAACTGATTAAATGCACAGCAGAGGTGATCTTCCAGAATTATTGTGGGATGACATCTAAGACAAAGGCTTGATAGAAACATTTTGCGATAAGGTTACTTCAGCATTTCTTTAACCATAGCCCAGTTATTATAAAATGGAGAAGAAAAAGCTGTCTATTCAAAGAGCCCAAATCTGCAGTGGCTAATATATTCAATTGAAATAAAACTAGAACAAAACAAAACAACAATAAAACCCCCAAACAAACCACCAAGCAAAGCAAAACAGAAAATAGCCAAGGTAAGAGAGCATAACTTAACAAGTTGCACATCTATTATCTTCCTGATAAATACATTGCTGCTGCCTCTCACTTCCCTCCCTGTTTACTCTCTCTTAAATCGTACAGTCCTGATTGGGATGACTGCACCTTAGTTTGTACAGCACGTTATTACACAATCGCAGTACTATCTGCAATTGTTTTTCAGGCAGATAAGTCTAGTATCACCCACATATTTACTTCCCTGCAATTCTACTTCTCCCAGTAAAATCCTGTTGACTAACTGTTGTTTACAGCACAGCATATAATCTGCCAAAAGTTTGGTTGGTTGTTTTCTCAATATGAAAACATGCCATAAAAGCTGCAAAACACAGCAGCACTACAAAGTATACACTTAGCTCATATGGCTAAAGTTTATTGGAAGTTTCAAAGCTTTCTGACACTGAAATGGTCATGTTACAGTCTACACCGAGATTCAGTATCATGCATACCTGTCAGTAAATGACTGGCCACGTTGCTCCTCAATGGTTTTAGAAACTTCATGATGCTCATAATGCCTATTAAAAAAACAAAACAAAACATGTTCATGTACAGAAAAAGACATACATAGGCATAGACATAAATATTTCCTACTAAAAACATTCAAAACAGATCTTTAAGGGAATAAAAGGAAAAATCCCCAAACAGTTGAAGCTCTAAGGAGGCTGAAGTTTTATCAGCCAGAAACACAGTTAACAAAAGAAAAGTTGTCAGAAAAACTGCCTGAAATTACATTTCTGTAAATGACAAAAAATCCAAAAGTGAGCATGCCAAAATGGTTAATACTTATTGCTGAAGATGTCCCAACCTACCTATCAGTTCAATTTCTTATTACCTTTCAATGAGAGGATGGCCAGCTCGATCCTCTATTGTTTTAGATACTTCATAGTGCTCATAATGTCTAGAAACAACATTCAGATGAATGAAATTATGTATTAATAAAAAAAAAAATCTAGAAATTGAGCAAACGGTAAATATACATAGAGAAAACTGAGAAAGTTTAGATGTGTTCATTAGAAACATGAAAATACATGAAAAAAAAAAAATACTTTTTAAGATGCTGCAGAAAATACAAATTCCAGTGTATGACAATGATTATCTCATCTGTTTCAAAGCCAGCAGTTTTAGAGACCTCCTGTGTTTGGACAAAAGTTACGTGTATATGCTAGGAAATTGTATAGGTGTAGTTTGTAACCCGTAGAGAAACACTAACTTCCACAAAGCTCTTCCAGCTGCCTGTCCCCAACCTCAGTGATCTTTGCAGCAAGTATCATGCCTCCACAGATGTTTATATAGCATTTCAGATTTCAAGTCATATCTTTGGATATCACTGTAAAGCAAATATTTAACATCAGATATTTAAAATCCCAGCTTCATTGAACTTGCTCCTTTACTATCAAGCAAAGCCATCCTTGTTTAGCAAAACACGTCCTTTGGCAGCAACCACAGAAGCAATGAAATCCCCTGGGACTAAAGAATGTATCACGGATTTAGATATGCAGATATTACAACAGCTTAATAAGCTACCGCACAAAGTTCTATTATCTTGCAATTGGGGCAAGCTAAAACTGTAGAGATACCCTGGCTCAGATGCCAAGAAGAACCTGTTTAGCCATTGTAACAACTATGCCTCTGCTTTGCTCAGCAGTGATTACAAGCAGCAGTCATTTACAATGAGCTAAAGTAACTCCAAGTCTCACAATATCCCCTTCAATTTTATAATCATATTTTTTTCTCTTAAGACTTAATGTGATATCATGTGTTATCTTCAGTCATCTCTTATTACTTATATAAGAACAGGGGAAAATCCTCAAGAGAAGCAGCAAAGCTAGTCATACACAAGACAGTAAGCTAAATGCACATGAAATAAGGAAAAGTTATTGTTTTAATCTGTTTCAGACAGATTAATCTCCCATGACACCTGCAATAGTAATCTGAAAACTTCTGGGCAAGAACATGAACGTGTAAACTAATAGTTGGGGTTTGCTGTTTTTTGGTTGTTTTTTTTTTTTTTTTTTCCTTTTTCTTTTTTTTGTTTGTTTGTTTGGTTGGTTGGTTGGTTGGTTTTGTTGTTTTGTTTTGTTTTTTAAACCAAGCAGCTGAAGAAAGTGATGAAAGAAACTTTTTCATGCTCTATAATAAATACATCCACAGTGGGTATTTCTAACAGCCTATGATATCTAAGCCAGTGTCTGTTCACTCATATACCATGATACCCCTATTCGACCCAGTAGCGCAATTAAACTTTATTGTTGCACTGTCAACTGTCAAACTAAAATAAGAGGAGTGTGGAAAATCAGTCACGCATTGGTTGGAAAAGAGTCAACTTGGTATTTCTTCTGAAAGACCTATATGTTGAGCCACTGGCTCTGAGTTTACAGGCTTATGCAGGGTTCTTACAAAATCTTCACACTAAGCACTTCAGGTCATCATTGATTTGGCTGTAATTACTGTATTTACATTTCCTATTTAAAAAATGAACTGAAGGGGGTTAATAGAGGACTTGATTCATGGGGAAAGACTTTGTTTTACGCCTGATCCTTCTACCTTTAGAAAGAAAGGCTATCCTGTGATATCTTGCACTGACTGATTACAGTACGAACTTTACATGAATACCCTTATGCATTCAGGACATACACACACTCCCATCAGAAATGTACCTGAATTTTTAATGTAGAAGGAAGAGAGAGTATACGCCATTACAACCACACACCTTTGGTACTGAGACATCTCCACTGGCGCCTTGCTCTGCCTTTCAGCCTGCCGTCTCTGCTCCTCAGCATACTGCTGTTCCCTCTCTTTACGTTGTCTCTCAAACTCCAGCTCTTTTAGCTCGCTTTCTTCCTCTTCCTGGATCCTCTGTTCCTTCTGAAGCCTCCTCCTCTCTTCTCCCTTGCCCAACAAGCGTGCTGCCAGCTCGCTTCCTCCATCTCCTTCTGGCTCCTCATGAGTATTTGCTTCAGGGCTTGCGCTCCAACTGGACACAGATGGGGCCCGTTCAGGGACAGACGTTGTGTTTAAGGTTAGAACAGTCTGCTCCTGTATCAAACAAAGCAAGCAATATTTTTAGGGAAGGGAACTAGTTGTTTTTAAACAGGTTGCTCACTCAGAAAAGTCATTTATTTTATGAGGGAAGACTGTAAAAAGCATCCTGAACACTTTCAATGCAAGACCCAGGGTGTACTTTGGTTTCATGTTTTGAGTGCCTGCTAGCACATTCTCCTAATGCAAGAGCTTCATTCCACACAGCAGCCTTAAGCGAGAGCTACGGGCAGCATGGCCACAACTATGTGAAACATTCTTCTTTCTGTATCACTTACACTTCAAGCCACCCCATCTCCACTTAAATACACATGAAAAATAAACTCTTCCATGATAACCAGAATTTCTTCCTACTGTTTTGATTTAGAAACCTGAGACCTAAGAGTGTATGCACAAAGATATACACTGCAAGTGTATATCAGGCCAATGAATTTCACGTGTATCCTCATGTGGAAGAAACCCTCACCCTCCTCCATTCTCCTACCATTTGAAAGTCAAGCCTTAGACCTACCACTCTGACTCTTCTCTCAAACACGAGAAAAGGTCTTTCAGTGGTCAAAAGATGTTTTAGTTGCAGAGGACAAATACTGTTTACACATCCATCCAACCCTCTAATGATAGAAAAAATGTGAAACTCTCTACATTCTTGTACAGTGAAGTCCTCTAGCAGCTCAAAGAGCTTTCTTACTGAGGTCCTAAGCCTATCTTTTTTATTGAAGTCCTAAGCCTTGAATTACAATATACTTATACACAACTGTATAAACACAATTGATCTAGCTAGGAAGCCTGAAGCAGCACTCACATAGCAAATAAAGAAGAGATATCTCAGACACCTACACTCAGGAAAGAACCTGTTCATCCTCCCTTAAGCAACAGCCACAAAAGTCAGCATCTACAGAAACCACACGCATTCAATGTCTTGAAACATATCACAGCAAATCTGAAGTTGATTTGATATGTAATTATCAGAGATAGGATGAACTGCTTGCCAGTAACAAGTCAGGCACATACAAACATGCCTCGTGATAAAGTACTGAAGCAGAACTCCCAACAAGTAGCTTCAGGAGGTAAATATACAGTAAAGGTGACCATTTAATTCTGGTCACAATAATTAACACATGATGTAAATTTTTGCCAATATATTTCTGGTGTTAGTTACCTAACCAACCCACAAGTCAAATTCAACAGGTCTCAAAACACCCCATTTGCCCTTTCCTTCTCATTTTTGTAACCTCTTTCTACTAAGTCATAGACAACAATTTATTTTCCCAAATGAGAAGATAAATGACATAGCAAAATAAATTATTTGCCTGCTTGCATTCATCTACTATAAGGGAAAAAAGCCATCATGAAACTAAACAGTCAAAGGTGAAGACATATTCATAGCCTACCTCATCAAAATACTTTGAGCTCTCTTTTTCTGCTTCTTGCTTAGCTCGTAGCCATTCTTCCCTCAGTTTTTCTTGTTCCCGTTTGTATTTCTCCTGTTAGGTTAGATTGAATTTAAACACCCAAATAAGAAACATGGTATTTTTCATTCACATTAAAATGTTCTACTGGTATTTAATGTGGTTTTTAACAGACCAGCATGGTAAAAACATGCTTGAGCTCCACTAGGATGCCAGGTCTGTCATGAGTGAATGAAATCCTGGCTCAAATACAATCCAAAGGAGTTCTGCAATTGATTTCAGAGAATCCAGGCTTATTACACACTAAGCCTCACCACAACTGACCTCACATCTGTTATATTCCCCATCTTATGGTTTAGTTCCCATTTGAACAAAAATCACCTATCTTAGGTATTTCTTGAAAGATGAAGTGATTATATTTAACTCGGAATTGGGCACATTAAGGCAGTAAATATAAAGTGATCACTAAGTGAGGCAGTAATTTGGTTTGAGCAAGAACTCCCGGTCTTTTGGAATGTTACCTAAACAAAAACCAATTTCTGGACCTCCAAATCTGTCCCATGACTGGATTTGGTATGAAACCAATGTAATGTCTTCAAGCATTACTCAAGGTACGCAATAAATGTTTTGGTGGTTTTGTCAGTCACCACTTACATCTTGGGAAAAGCAAAATATTTAATGATGTCAAAAGTATCCCTTCTAAAATGTTGGAAATAAGCAAACAAAGACTTTGCTTCCTTTCTCTGTTATTTGAAAATTCATCACTAGGATCATGCAGAAGAGAAAGAACATTATTACTCTAGCCAATTTTCCTACTCAAGGCTAAGGAGAATCAAAGAAAAGAAAAGTGATGGCAGAGGGCTGAGACTGCTCTCAAGAAAGGGGAGCCAAGGTTTACATTCTTTAAAGCCATGTCTTCAGACATCAAATGGGGCACCCAAACCATAACAGAGACCACAAATATGTTTAGGCAGGCACAGCTCTTGCCTTGCAGAGTTTGTAAACTAAAAGGAATGACAAAAGGTAAAACATCCAAAAAGCAACAGAGTTGCTACACTATACTTTGACATCCCAGTTTTCTGCTGAATACACCAAGATTATTAAGGAGGCTTGCATAGAGTAAATGATCTTCACTGACGTCTCTGCTAGCCAACAGACTTTAGATAACAAACTTTAATTTAACTTGCAGAGATGTGTCTTGATGAACCTGTTTGAATGGGCTTATGCTTCATTGAGCTGAGGTCTTTGCAGAGATGTGTGCTTGCTTTTTTGTGCTACCCTAAGATGACAAACATTGTCCACTCCCTCTGCAACACTTCCCTCCATCTCTAGCAACTGGTTATCGATGTAGTTTTGCATTATTAGGTTCAGCTTCCTGACTCACAGAGGTCCTGGGAACCAGGCTGATTCGAGCTGGTTAGCTGATTGCTAAATGACAGGATATTAGTAGGCATCTAAGCACGGCACTGGCTGCCTTCTCTTCATCTCTTAATTTAAGGCAATATCACTAATTGAAAGTAAAACTCACTCGAAAGACAATTTTCTTAAGGGGAAAAAATAAAATTCATATTCAAAGGTAAAGACTACTGCTCATTAGGTGTTTGCTTATACTTTAAATTCTGTTGCAAGTAAGAGCATATCAGCCTTGTGATAACTGAGCACTTCAGGCTGTAGTGAATACACAGTCTGGGTTTGATTTCATAAAGCTCACTAATGCATTGTCCTCCTTTTGCAGAATAATTGCTAGTGTGTGTAAGTGCACAGCCCAGCCAACAAATCTGAAAGTCTTCTTAGGCCACCAGTAAGAAGAACTGCAGAAGTCACATGTTACTTTTCTCCCCTAACAGTTTCTGCACGTAAGGGATTGGCAGCCTATGATTATGAAGATTAATTATACCTGCAATAAACGCTCCTGCTCCTTTTGCCATTTTTCCTGCCGTTTTCGTTCTTCCTCTTGATCCCAAACCCGACGACTAGGAACGCTAATGGTTGGAACTGGGAGCTAATATAACATGGGAATGAAATAGTATTATCTTCTTGTATGTAATTAACACTCTACATTTTAAAACATATTATATTTAAAGTGAGGAATAAAAGCCATTACAAACACTACAGCTTTATAGTTACAAGGACCTAAATTAGCCTTGTTTTCAAAAGGACAGAAAGCAACCATTCCATTGCACATTAGAAAATCTTAGTCAGTAATCTCAGATTTGATCACAATTTTAAAGCAGTATAAAGAGTAGTGGGCTACTTGAGAAGACCAGGATGATAAAACTAATTAGTAGTTTGTAAATAGTACTTACATCAGGCATTGCAGTCTCTGGGCCTCCTGTGAGATTTGGAAAGCAAAAACCAGAAATCATTAGAACCATACATACTACTGCAACACTTGTGTAAAGGTGGAAAGTCCAAGTTTCAGACTAATTTTTGTTTCCTTAGTAAACCATGCTTGTATTTTGCCCTACTGAACTTATTTGAGGTCAAAATTCATTATGTGCTTTCAACTAATGTGCACAATTGTTTAAAAGCTTTACACATTTACAGGTGCCATCAGCAATTGCTTAAATTAGCAGTACATCTCCCACTGCAGTAGTACAGAGGTTCTTTGCTACACCTCTCCTATTATTATTGTGAAACCCAACCGTTTAGTGTGACCAATACCCAGAATGCTGCTCCAGGGTACAGCAGGTACTCATCCATTGCCTTTGATGTGAATTCAGAGCAATAGACATCCACAGACAACTTGCTTATCACAAAAGCATGTATTTCCTCTTTCCAACTGTCTTCCTTTCCTTACTCCCAGAAGCACACCTGAATTTGGTGATTTTGTCACCATTCACCAAAAACCTTATGCTATTTGAGGCTATCTTGTGCCAAGATGATTATTAGAGAGAGATGTGTATTATGCTAATACATTAAAAGTTGAGAAAATGGGAAGGACAGATTTAAGTATACTAAGCCTCATCACTATTTATTTTTGTTGCTAGTGTACTTGTTACTTAGCTGTCCAAATTTAACTTAAAAAAAAAAAAAAAGCATAAAAGCAACAAATTGCAATGGTTTTCTGAAGTGTGATCACATGAAGTGGAGAAAAAGGTCACATTTAGGATACAAAAGATATCTAATGAGTCATGGACTAGTACCCAAACTTTATATGCATAATTTTGTCTTCATTATCAGATTGCAACAGCCACGGTGACAATAGGTAGGACAAGCAGACTTGATCTGTAATTGTGTCAGGAGATGCTAAAGGTAGGCATAGGCAGCACGTAACTTTGCTCTCCTCTTCTCTCATCCCTGTAAGCTTATGCTGGCCTGTACAGGCTTAGAAAGAAAAATCTTTCATATCACTATAAAGCTAAAGCATCAGAAGTTTAAAATGAACAAAACTGTACTGAGTGTACGCTCTAGAAATATGCTTTTCTCCTCCCCCTCAAGCACAAGTGAAATACTTCAAATATTCCTATAAAATTTATTAAAATGAAAACCAAACTTCATAGCCAACCTTTAAAAATAAACAAAAAAAAAGCCCCAAAAAAAAAGCCAAAACCAAATCAGAACAAAATGCCCCTCCCCCACCCCTCAAAAAAACAACCAACCGAAAAAAAAAAAACACCACCATATTGCAGATACAGTGCAGCAGAAATATTTAAAAAGCAAACAGAACCACAAACACAGAATTATGCTGTGGCACTTCACATATCACTTCTGGAAAAAACAGAAGCCATCACCACTGAAGGCAAAGTCCTGGCCCCACTAAAATCATTGGCAAAATTCACACTGAACTTCCAGTGGGCCAGAATTTCACTCTTTCAGGATACAGCAAAACAGCAAGGCATACATTGTCTGAAGACAGCATTAGACATACAACACCAGTAGAAGTATGTGAATTGTGACATGCAAAACACCAAAAAGCAACCTACAAAACCAAAATTGAGTGCCTCATTTTTTGCTTTGAAAAGCTAGCATATTCAATTCAAAATTTATATTGGTCATCTTGGGATCTTGTGACATCACCACATAGTGGAAAGCCAGCAGCTGCCTTTTTCCACCAATTTAGATGAAAGCACAGAGCTGCAACTGAAGATAAACTCAAATCCAGCGTTAAGTATTTTTTGAACAGCTCTGAGATCTGTGCTAAGCCCCTGCAGGAGTATTCAACATTATTCTTGTTTTGTAGGTAGTAGCAAACCTGAACAGTGTGCTATCCTTCTTACGCCTACCCAGTGAAAAAAAAGTATGAACAACATAGAAGAGATTTAAACAGCTACAGGTATAAGAGAACACACAAAGACCCATTACCACAAAGGTAGACCCATGAACTGTAAGAATAACTTGATGACCCTGGGGAAAGAAGGGAAATTAATTATGTTGCTTCGTTGTAACTGCAACAAACAATGCTGAAGAGGTATAGTACCCAGCACCAGACTTGTGAGGGAGAGTGTACAGCAAGAGGAATTTCATGGAAGTACATGAAATGTTAGCATTTTACCTTGCTCAAAAAATTGTGACCGCCTTTTTAAGTTTTTCAAAGAAATAGGTTCAGATGCTATTTGAAAAATACAAAGAATACAAACAAGTCAATGAGGTGCTTTTCTTAAAAAACAAAAACAAAAACAAAAACCCAAAACACTATCACCACTGGATAACAAACTTCTGTTATTAGACCTCTAATCTACAGCAACGTCACTTCAGAAAAAAGCCCGTGAACGACAAAGGAAATCTAATCTTTCATAATGACAAATGCAGTTTTTAGCAGGTTACCTCATATACTGATTAGTATTTCATTTTATCACTAACAATGTCCAGCTATAACAACAGTGCAAGTGTCAAACTTGGGCTCAGATTCTCCCTGTCTAATTTAAACTTCCTCAACTGAAATGCCAATTTCATTGAGGATCCTAATCACCATTTAAGGTCATCAGAAAGGCATCTCCAGAGGGTGAATGATCATCTCTTGGGGGGAACTCTTTTATAAATCACCATGTGCATTCAAGATAAAATGAAATACAAAGTTTCCATTTAAGGATTACTGTTCCATTAGGAAGTATATGTATCTGGTTTCTCTCACTGTCTTCAAGTAAGGCTATAACTGTTCATAACATCATAAGTAATTATTATTCATACCAGAATCAACAATATTGTTCTCCAGGAATAAAACTAACATAATTATAGTAAACCTATCATCACCCCCAAAACCTGACAAGTGAAAAAAAGTTGAATACTCTTTACACACTTCCTGGGCAGTGAAATAAATTGGTACTCATACTGACTCAGTCTTCACACAATGCAGTAGCAATTACAATAACTTGTGTGCCTTGTCCTTCTCTTTCACCCCTACAACCACTAATGCAGATACTGGGGCTTTTGTCACTGCCTAGCATGTTGTGGAAGCAAACTACACCCAGTTTGGATGCAACTAGATCTCTGTGATACCTGTCTAGCTTTCAGTTCATTAAGGTCTCGCTTTGCCTACTGCATAAAGCTTGCAATGATTACAGGTTTAGTGTCTGTTTCAAACCCACACAATTAGCGGATGAAAACTGACAGTGGTTTACCTCTTTGCTCATTAGAGCCAAGATCTCTTTGCATTCCATTTATCAATTTTGTTTCTGTATCCTGAAAAAAAAATAAAAAACATAGTGTTTAGTCTCATTAGATTTGTGGAAGTTTATCCAATTAAGTGTCTTCCTTGACAGGAATCATATATCATGAAGCACTTCAGGACACTTTCCACAGAAAGAGAAAAAATTATCTAAAATTTCCTGAGTGTATTATATGATAAAACAACTACAGATGTTTGAGGGGGTCAATAACCAGCTGTGAATTGGTGGCTGAAATAAAACCTACTAGTTTGCAAGAAAATGCCAGAAGCCAAGATCTTCCTATTTCAGCTCTTTGGCAGGCAGGGTGTTATTTGCAAGTAATTTGAAAACACGTATATGATTGTTCTTTGGGGCTGTACCTTTCATTTACTCTAACAGTGGAGGTAAGAGTCTCTTCTAAAGAATAAATACTCTATACATTTTAATCAAAATACAGTCTGCAAATATTTTCATACTTATTACTTAGCAGTGTGCACTCATGAATAGACAGTAGCAAGTCTTTAAAACCTTTTACCTTAGTAAGTACAGAGCTTTATCTCTGTATTTGCAGCATCCTCTATGTTCCTTAAGCAAAACAAGTAAAAATAAGATTTCCAAGGTCTTTTCTCCATCCTCCACCTATCAAGGTGTTACATTTTCACTTTCTTTCTCCCCCCCAAATCCAATGACCCTTCAAAAACATACTCACAGAACTTCGAAGGCTGCTGGAGAAATCTCTTTTTGTTGATATGGTGGAAACATTTGAAACGTGTTCTCCAGAAGTCGCATCAATCCATTTATTTTCAGATGTACCTATAATGTTGGTAGCCATACTGGTGAGATTGAGGATTTTATGCGTTACATGTGGCAGGGAAGGCTGGTCTTTGCCCCAATCTTTTTGGTATGTGGAGGATCAAGAAATTAATGTAGACAGTAACGTCAAAGAAAAGAGTCAGTGAAAACACATTAAAATAACACAAATAAAACAAATAACAGAAGAGGAAGAGACACAAATCAGGTGGAATTTGTGAAGACAGGAATAGGGCTTTCATGAGCAGACCGCCTTCCCCAAAAATGCAAGTGTTAGTCATAAGCCAGGTAAAAGTTCACCGGATGTTTTGCTAACATGGACTATAGCAGCTTAGCACTGCAGAGCAATTAGTATTCATTGAAAACTATTTCATTACCATTAGTAAGGATGGAGAAAATTCTTCAAGCTTTACTCACACAAGGTACCATTTGACTTATACTCTATCCAGGGAAGTGTCATTTTCATGTCCGTGCTCCTCAGGAAACACACAGAGGGCAAAAAAAACCCAGTCTAAACTAAACTAGTAAAACTGATGAGGTGAAGACAAATCATAATCTTCACTCAAAATCCATAACTTCTCCCACCAACTCCCTAAAATGTATTCAAAAAAGAGTACTCCACTAATTTCACTCTTCATTTGTGCTAGGCCCTGTATAAATTGTGATTTGTTTCCTGCCTCTTCCCCACTGCACTATTTTTTCCTCCCACTTGCTGGCAACTTCCCACTAAAAGAACATTTTGTCTTTATAATGTGAAAGAAGTCATTGGTCACACTTCCATCTCTGGAAAAAATCTTTCAGGACTTCAGAAGAGTATCCTGATCAAGCCCATGGTAAGCCTAGAGATGCTACAAGGGCTTCAGCCAGGATAGAAAACCTCACTAGCCAGAATGAGTACCACCATTCTGGAGAGATTACAGCATCACAATATTTGAGTCAGTGGTCAAAATCATAGCACAGAGGTGCTACATCACCCACAAGCTCATATACCACCCAAAACACTCCCTGAAAAAAAAGAAACTCCTTCCCTCCTTCCCTGACTAAAAGAGGAGCTGTTGACTGAAGGCAAGAGTCTCTAAAAATTACTATACTCTAGAGCCAGCCCCTCTTTGTTTTTGTGGCATGGCAGAAAATAAAATTTTATTCCCTTGTGTGGTGGTTGCACACTTTTTTACCTGTGCATCCTCTCAGAAACAAGCCACAGAACAAGAGAGGTCAGTAGTTCAATGCTTTGTAGATTTGCTTGTCAAGACATTTCTAATGCATGAGTAGTTAAAAAAAAAAGCCAAGTTGTGTTAAAATGCAACAGACATGCTAGCAAACTACTTTAGCTTAGATACATATTACAACTGTAAGGGTAATAAGGACTCAGCTGTCAGGTACAGCAGAGACAAAGCTTATTTGCCTTACAGAGCATACTGTATCTGCCTGACGAAACAACTCACCATTCTTTCCATATCGTCTGACATCCATGACCAGGTTTCCAGTTTCTAGTGCTCTGCCGACGGCTTCCTCCCACTGACTACAGTCCATACATGAAACCTTTGTGCCGTTGATAGCAATGATCTCATCATCTACATGCAGTTGACAAAGTGCTGCAGGGCTACCTGCAGAAAACAAGAAAAATGAAATTATGTCTCCATTCACAATTATTTTTTTGCTACAATTGTGATTGAATTAAAGTTGGTTTGTTTTGTTTTTTTTTTTTTTTTCACAAAAGAAATTCTTACTGGTGAATATTCAGAAAGTCTTTGCAAGCTGTACTACATTGTGAATATAAGCCCAGTAAGCTCAATATCAAAGCAGTGTTTCAATTTGAAACTTATGAAAATGACAAAGGACATCAATCTTTTGAACATACAAGTGCTCACGTTCTGGCTAGCCCATTTATTAAAGAGCCTCTGGGCTCACCCCTTCCTTCACTAACTCACTTTTATCATCTTGGAGAGAAACAGAGCAAGAAACAGAATGGCAGAGTGAGACAGACAGAGCAGCAGAGAGTCTGTAGCCAACAATTAGCTGAAATTCAGCCAAAGTTTGGGTAATCCTCTTATTTGACCCCCAAAAACACCCTCTACTTCATTAAGTCCAGTAGAACTTGCCTTTCTCATATTCTTATTTACATTTTCTGGGCTCTACTGACAAGAACATGCTGCTTTATTGGTTTGCTAAAATAGTTCATTGGTTCTAAATTGACTGGTAATTGGATTCAATATACTGCTGGGTGCTGTCCCATTAGACTTCGCTGAATTCTACTTACTTTGCCAATTAAAAGCAAATTTTACTGCAGGTTGGACTTTGAATTCTACTGATACTTTGCAAGGCAGCTGCACTTTATACTCTTTTTCATCTACCACTAAACATTGGCAGGTGATCTCACTAGCCTAAGGACAGAGAACATACAGAACCAGTTAATAAACTTTTTTCTATTTAATTCAGAAAATAGGTGAGCTGAGAAACTCAGTATTCCCTGAGTAAGATTTCATTAATTATATCTAAAGGTTCTTCCATTAACAATTATTCCCTTAGCAGAATAGAAAATGGAAAAGCTATAGTGAAAATGTGGTTGAAGATTGCACAATAAATCCTCACATGAATAAAATAAATTTTAATTACACAGTGGGAACATTTTCCGAAGTAAGTAGTGAAATCCACACACCTTGTTTAAAATATACCAAGAACAATGCTAATTACATTATCAGAAAGAAACATGGACATGCATGACAAGAATTCAGACACCATATGCTTCATCTTGACCTTCTTCTGACTCACTAGTAAAATGCTGCTAGAAGTCTGGGTCATCCAGTAAGGACTCAGATAGCTTTTAATATTTATTCCTGGCATCTGAGGAAGTTAAGAAATGAGGAAATTCTATACTTCCTAATACTGCACCAACCAGTGATCCATCATAGTTCACAAAAAACCTCCACCACTAACTTTTATGTTGGAAGAACATAACTCCATATTATGTTTTTCTGCATTCTTCTTAAAGTATGGACTAAAAGCTCCATTAGCAGAGATCAGTAAAATTTTCAAAACACACCAATTAAACAATATTATAGAAGAAAATGTAGGATTTTCATTTGGAGGAAGAAAACACAGGTGAGAGTTAACCTGGAAAAAAAATGCATCTCCTTAGAACCAAGATGATATTAAAGAATTAATAGATTTTTAAATCTATTAATTGAAGGTATTAAGGAAACTATTGAAGATACTTCTACTTAAGTTATTTTCAACAGCATCATATAACATTTGGAATTGTGTCTGAATTAAAAATTTAAGATCTTTAGTACCACACAGATTGACCACACATAGACTGAACTTTATGCTCGTGGCATAGAGAATCCTTTGGGCTTAAGGAGAGTCATCAGAATTGATCAATTATCTGTTTTCTGTTGTGACACAACAAGCCCTAGCAACCAAAAAAGGTGGTGTTCATTTTATTCAGATAATTTGACTGGGTTGAGACCCAGCTCTTAGGTGAGAACAGTATACCTCAGCTCAGCTATGGTAAACGCGTGAACAGAAAAGGGGGGTTACCAATACAGGTTTTAGGAAATGAAGGGAATTTAAGATTGCATGGTTCTTCCTATAATATCACCAGAAAAACACATCTAGACCATACCCCAACCATACAGATTTGAATGAATAGCGGCAGTCTCTAGATTGCATGTGCAGACCTACCACAGCCAGGACAACTTACACCACTCAATTTTTGTCACATAATTTTGCCAGCTGCTCTTCCTCTACTGTCTCTACAGTCTGTGAACAGAAGGGCCTGTCAAGAGTGCAAACCAGAGCTCCTATATTGGGGTTCTGCTCTGACTCATCTCCAGAGGAGCCTACAGATATTAGCTGGAAATTCAGGTGCTGAAAGTTGTACAGTACCTGTTGTCTTTCTCTGTCCAGCTCCTCCAATACTATAGAATTTACTGATAATATCTTTATACCTCTGTAGAGGATTTAGTTTACTTTATATAAAACATGTATTTCTGTTTTTCATAAGTTTCCCTGAAGGTAAAAGATTTTTTTTTCTTACTACCTCCCAATGAAAACGAAACCAAGCAAATACTCATTTTCCACACGTATTTAGTTATCTCTAACCTATCCTCATCTGTTGTTTTTATAACAGATAAATACTAGTTCAGTCACGCAAAAAAATTAAAACTTGAAGGAAGTGAGTCAAATTTACTTTGTTCTACGTGCCTATAAATATTTGACCACAGAGCTGTGAACTTCTACATCAACACCATCTCAGAAAAATGATTGTAAATAGGGTGGGTGAGGGGAAGGACTGAAACAACAAAGATTATATGGCAATGGGGAAGCTGGCAGAACAACATCTAGATTAATGACTTTAAGTCTTTCATTTTACCTATTTTTTAGCACGAAGGTTGAAAATTCCAGTAAAAATGAGCGTTATCTTCTTTTATATGTAGTAAGTGGGCCTCACTGAAGCATGTGTCACAAGCTTAACTCTTATAAGTGTTAAAGCTTAAGAAGCTAATTTTGCGTGCCAGGCAGTTTTCTTAACAATTTTTTGAAGGAAAAGCATGTGTAGAATACAGATGCATTTATAAGTAAAAAAATAAATGCAAGTGATCACCTGCAGAAAATTGTCTAGGTAGTTAGGATGACAAGTATGTCAAGACAATCAGAGAAAGTCTTTCTGGAAGCTATATTTCTGGCCTAGTGAAAGAGAAAATGGCAACTGGAAACAGCTGGTGTGGATTTGCCAAGCCTATATTAGGCTTGATCAACCTGGCTGTCTTCAGGGATGAAATGATTAGATCTGTGGATGAAGGGAGAGCGGTGGATACCATCCACCTTGTCTTTAGCAAGACTCTTGAAAACATCTTTCACAGTATCCTGGTATCAATGTTGGGATGGTATTGTCTACAGGGCAGAATGACCAGATGGGTGAAAAACTGGCTGGGCTGTCAGGCTCAATGGCTAGCGGTTAATGGTTCATATTCAGCCTGGAGGCTGGTTACAAGTGGAGCTCCCCAGAGACGTATCCTGTGACCTGTCCTCTCTAACACATTCACCAATAATCAGGAAGAGGAGGAGATGAAATACACCCTCATCAAGTTTGCAAACCACGCAAAATGGGAGCGGGTGGCTGATACGCTGGAGGGCAGGGCTGCTGTTCAGAGCAGAAACCTGACATTCAACACAGGCAAATAGAGAGCCCTGTTCCTGGGATGGACTAACCCCAATGATGGTACAAGTTGCTGGCTGGAGAGCAGGGCTGAAGGGGTCCTAGTGGACTTTTGGTTGAGTGTGAGGCAGCAGCAGGCCCTGGTGGTGGTGGGGCTATCAGTACTCAGGGCAAAACATTTGTATGACCGGCAGATCAAGGCAAGTGACTATCCCATTCACTGAGCACTTGTTACGCAATGTCGACAATACTGCATCCAAGTGTTGGTGTCCCACTGAAAGAGAGAAATCAATAAACCGGGGCAAGTTCACATAAGGGATCATCAGGGATGGAACACTTGCCCTGTGAGGAACAAGGCTTGTTCAGCGTGGAGAATAGAGGCTGAAGCGGGACCTAACAGCAATCCCCGCAACCCCAGTACCTCCAGAGAGGTCACCAAGAAGGAAAAACCTGCTCTTTATTGAAATTCATGGCAGGAAAACACAGCACAGTGGTTATAAATTGTGCTCATTTTGGCTGAGGTAGTCTTAATTTTCTTCATAGTAGCTAGTATGGGGCTGTATTTTGAATTTGTGCTGGAAACTGTTCATAACTCAATGACATTTTATTAATTGCTGAGCAGTGCTTACACAGAGTCAAGGCCTTTTCTGCTTCTCACCCACCCCACCAGTAAGTAGACCGGGGGTGCACAAGAAGTTGGAAGGGGACACAGCCAGGACAGCTGACTCCAACTGACCAAGGCGATATTCCATACCATATGATGTCATGCTCAACATATAAAGCTGGAGGAAGAAGTAAGGGGGGAACATTTGGAGTGGCCCTGCTTCCCTGGAGATGGCTGAACACCTGTCTGCCAATGGAAAGCGGTGAATCAATGTCTTGTTTTGCTTTACTTGTGCGTGCGGCTTTCACTTTACCTATTAAACTGTCTTTATCTCAACCCATGAGTCTTCTCACTTTCAGCCTTCTGCTTCTCTCCCCCCGTTGCACTGTGGGGGAGTGAGAGAGTGGCTGTGTGTGGCTTAGTTAAACCATAACAGAACTGAGACAAAGGATGATCTGACTGGATATATGGGAAACATTTTCTCTGCAAGGGTAATTATCCATTGGAGCATACTGCCTAGACAGGCTGTGCAGTCTTCATTCTTGGAGGGGTTCAGATACACCTGGGTGAGGCCTTCAGCAACCTAGTCTGAATTAAGCCTTGACACTTTTTTGAGCAGGGGTTTGCTCTAGGTGATCTTCCAAGGTCCCTTCCAACCTGAATTATCCTATGACTGGTCCTTAAAAATAGGAAACACAGCGTTCAGAAGTGTCCAATTGAAATCACACCTTACTTTCAATGGGCCATCCACCTCTTTCATCCTTTGATCCTTTAAAGGAAGCTACAGCTATTGAACAAGGATACAACATGAGTCAGTTGTTGAAACAAAGATGTTAAAGACATGCTATAAATCAGAATATCGAGATGCAGTCCATACTCCATTCAACCTTTATACTTTGCACCATTCCTTCTGAGAATGCTAATAAAGCATAACCAAGATAACAACCACAAGGCCTTCATCTTCTCCTTGCCTACAGAGTTGGGGATAGAGCTCACTTAGATCTTTGTGAATGACCATCAGGAACATTCACTACCCTCAGGTTTATCATTCACAGCTGGCAGCACAGAGTCCTCTGCCTCTCCAAATAACAAAATTAAACTAAAAGCCTACCAGCAGGGAAGGTAAATGGAAAGTTATTCTTCATGTAAAGCAATTATTAATGGTTATAATATAATTATGAGAAGTACCCAGCTATAGTAAAGAGAGGTCTAAAAATTAACTTTGAAATGAAAAGGGAAAAAAAAGGAGAAGGTAAACAAAACGACTGCTCAGTAAGTACTGTTAAATTGCACTTTTTTCCTCCCTGGCAAGCATAATGAAGGGCTAAATAAGACATTTCCAGTAATTTCTCCTTTCTCAGGATGATCTTGTGTTAGCTGGAAGAATGGGCACAATTAAATATCCTTAAGTATTACTGGCAATAGGAAAGATTGCTATTCAGAAAACAAGACGTGATTTTCTTGGGGTTTTGCTCTGTTTTGTTGCATTTTTTTTAGTTAAGAAAACAGTTTGTTCTCTGCAGAAGACTAGAAATCTTAGAAATAAACTTTATGTATCTTTCATTTCAAGACAAAAATGTTTGCTTTTCCTCAGTGTTAGCACATCTGAGGAAAACTGCACTGGAAATCAATTTAGAAGTTGCAACTGCTAAAAAACATTAACTGTCTAAAAAAATTCAACATGACTAAGAAAGGTAAAATTAAAATAAAAATATTAACTCTTAAGTTTCCTCTATATGCATTTACAAACCATACAGAGTGTAACCTTTTAAACTTAGCTAAAAGGAACACTGGATATTAATAATCTCTATGTTCCCCTTACTATTGTTTTGTAAGGGGTCTGGTGAATGTTTGAATGATCACATTTATGCCTTTTCAGTTATAGAAATGTCCTTGATTAGGAAAATATATTTTTTGGTATTTCTGAATTCAACCTGTTTCAAGAGATGAGGTTTCACAGAAATAAATTAGCAAACTAATTATTGATTTTTTCAATTCTCTACCCGAGTTTTTAAAACATTTATAACATTTTTAACAGCAAATGCCTTAATTTAGAAGCCTCTCTAAACTAAACACAAGAACAATAAATTGTACATTTAGTACACATTTACCTTCTTCAACCGTCTGTACAAAGGCCCCTGAAGAACTCCAATTTGTTGTAAACCCAAAGCTGCGACTGTGGCCAGGTCTCTGGTTTATACTAATTCTCATTTCACTGTACTGTTCCTGAAAAATAAAACATGACACTACAGTATCTGGTATCGCAGGAATATAAATGAGGGAAAGTTTATCCTCTAAATAAGTGAGGCTGCTCACAGTGTGCACTTTAATCATCTATTATTAGCATCACAGACAAAGGAAACAACATTGAAGGCAGTTAAGTAACTAATCTGGTTTTTATTCAAACAGGTATGTTTTCAGTTTACATTAGTATTTTCTCTACATCTATATTTAGCTGTGCATTTCTCTTACTTTAAATGTTTCCTAACACAGTGCTACAAAACATATTCAAGGAAACTAAAGCCCTAAATGGTCTTGTGAATTTTTTGAATGTAGTGCCTCCTGAAAGCATCCGTCAGATGTGAAAAAGCTAGTTAACAGTAATTCATCGTATTCTTTCCTTGCACATCCTACAGTAGGCATCATCAGTTTCCTTTAAGTTCAGTGCTGTTACTAGAATTTCTTGGGTGAACAATCACCTTTATAGTTTTGTGTGAAATACTACTAGCTTCCTATGGATTTTGTAACGGAAGCCTTAGATAATAAAACTAATCCCAGAATTAGCTAGATTCCAGATCTTCCATTCTAGTGGACTTTAAAGATGCTATCAAAAGCTGAATGAAAACCCAACATTACCATTTTAAACTACAGAACTACTCGATTGGGAAAACATTCCGGAACACGTGCTTTCAATCCCGCAATATATTGTGAACATGTGTTGCATACATTAACATTTTAATGTGAACCCATTAAAAAACAATTAAAATACTCAAATGCATGCTATTCACTTCATTATCATGGCACTGGCATTGTTAAAAAAGAGAAAAAAAAAAGTTTTTAACTTTTTCTGTCAAACACTGTTACAATAGATATATTCCAGCAACACATGCATGAAGGTGACCCCACATGCTTATATGCATGCATTAAGCATATACCTACATTTCAGCTGCCTAGTGAACCAGCCTTCCTGAAAGGTGGGATTCATTTTCCCTAACTTAAAATATTTAAAAGTCTAGGTATCTAAGGCAAGTCCCCCAAGCACCTGTGTTGGTAGGATGCAACAGGCAGCTGCAAGGAGCACTGCACAAGCAGACGTACTTCACCAGAGTTTCTGGGCAGCATGCAGCCAGAGGAGGCTTCAGCAGTACCCCAGCACTGGGTGCAGAAGACAACAACATTCCAAGGCAACACCCTGAGGCTTTGCCTCCTGTTACAGGAATGTTCCCTGCAAAACACTCCCAGTTACAGCCCAGGGTGGAAATTAAGTCCTTTCTCCAAAACACAGCTACTAAACTTGCAAATGCTCCCATACAGAAACAGTCTTTTTTTTTTTTTTTTTTCCTGTTCAACCCAAGTCCTTACACTGAGTAATGGTACTTTAAAAGCTAATCTACTAATAGACAGGTTAGCACACAGAGCTAGAGCACATATAAAGCTTTTGAATTTCAATGTGTTCCTGGAAATTACTTTTGCTGTTATTCTTACATCCACCATCTCAACCCCGCTCTTCTTCAAACCTACCTCTTGTCAGAGGAGTAATGCAACTGTACACTGAACTTCATCATTTGGACAGGTCATCTCCAAAACACTTAGTGCTTCACAAACCTGGTGTTATTGCCCTGATGACTAGTGAACTAAATCAATCTCTCAACTCTGTCAATGATTTACAAACATGAGAAATGGAACTTGCATTCTGTTAAGTTATTGCTTGTTTGAGGTACAACAGAAGTGCTTTTATTTATTTATTTTAAATTTTGATTTAAAAAACCTACATTACTCATTTGCAGGAAGAATAATTTATCATCTTGTAACTAATGACAAGAAAAAAAAAAATATGGATCTTGTACATTTTGTTCTCATTTGGCTCACTTGAAGTGAGCCTAACCTATGTTTTCACTGATTAGAACAGCAATTCCTCTGCCTGTTTTGCTACAGTGCAGGAAAAAAAATCATGATCTTTTTCATTATACAACAATCACAGTTTCAAAAACTTATGATTATTAAATTGAAATGTGTTCCATTTCCACAAGTGTTTAGGAAGAAGAATGGTTCAAAGAGACTAAATTTATAAAAAGCTGGTGTGGGAGTGATTCCATAAACCAGCATCCAAAGTCTTATGATCCTCACCCAAGCAACTGGAACAATTAAGTTTTACAGCAGCATCAGGAATGCAAAGAATTCACCTCTAGTCTGTCAAAGAGTATGAACCACCTCGTTAGTTGTATGGTTGATACAGAAAGGTATCAACCATTAAAGCTATTGCTGGCCATTTTTCACATGTGAAACATGATCAATTGGAGAAAACAGCACTTGAAGATACATATTTCAAAAAAACACTGAAAGACCCAACTCTTGAATAAGCAGATACACAGAGATGGTGATTTGCTCTAAAATTCATTAATGTGAACATTAATTAGGTTACTTTCAAGTAAATAACTATTTTAAAAAGAAAGGGGTGGCTCAAGCCAAAACAGATGGAAAAAAGGATAGTATGATACTAATGTTTAAGGCTGGCCTTTGAAAAGCTGATCTTTATTTTCCACCACCAGTTTAAAAGTGCAAATGAATGCTACAGCAGCTCATATCATTCATCTATCTAACTGACATACCTGATTGTGCACACAGTGTGCTAATTTGGAGAATAACAAAAAGCTTTGCAAGCATCAAACAATATTTAAAATAACTATTTTGAATTAGAATGACAAATAAAATTAAGCATAGGACATATAAAAGGTAGGGAAAAAATGCAGCAAAAGAACCTATTATTTTCTCTCCAAATATTCTTTCCCCTGAATTAAATGAAAGGAAATACTAGTTCTGAGCTGCTTTCTTACTACCAAAAATACTTGCATTTGATGTAATTTTATTTATTTATTCTTCTACTTTGCTGTAGCATTCAGTTACACTAAGTAATTGCAGAACTTCCACACTTACCGGGGATTTTGAATCCTCAGTCTCTGGCAGACTCACATTTTCTGCAGAAGATGCAAGTGAAAGAGAATCAGGAGGAGAGCAATACTCTGGTTTAAGAATACTGCTTCCAGTATCTTGGTCTTGGGATTTTACAGGTAATGACAAACTAGGAGGAGGTGTTGACTGAATACCTTCTTTTCTCTCCTCCTCCTCCCCATTTCTGCTACTGAATGCACTAGTGGAGAGAGGGTGTGCAGAGTCTGGTTGTGAAAATGAACTGCTAGTGAACAAAGTTTGAATTCTTTTAGCTTTTTCTATTTCTCCGTTGTATTTCTGGGTATCATCCATCTAGGACAAAAAATGACAGTTTGGTAAATATGTTTTGTTTGTTTGTTTGTTTGTTTGTTTAAAAAAAAAGTCCCTAATCTTTCAGCAATCTAAATATTTAACAAAAAAACTCTCTCCCTTTCATGCAAATTCTTGTTACTGTATCCATTACTAATTAACCACTTTAAAGAAGAGCAACGTATTTTTTTCTCTTGAAGTGCTTGCAGAATAAATAGTCCAGACTTTTTAAGATAGTCTTGTTAAAAATCATCCACTTCAGATGATTTACATTCTTACAATTTTTTAAATTCAGACAAATAGGGATTTAGGAGAAAGCTATGAAAATTGACATAGTAATCGAGGTAGGGAAATTGATTTTTGTGTTTCAGTGCTTTACTGAACAGGCAAATTTCAGGCTAGCATAAAATGTCAATTTCAACAAAGTGAGCAAAGGAAACATATCATCTGAAGAATTTGTCTTTAATACTTAATTATGTTAACTTAGCTTCAGACAATTACATCCAATGAAGGCAGGTTTTTTGATAAGGAATACTAAGGAGACTTGCTATAAGTAATAAAAATATTATTCTACCAAATATATTTATCAGCTTTATTTCTAGGAGTGCCTTTAAGTACAGAAACACAGCTAAATGTCTAAAGGCATGACAGAATTGCCTGCTCTATTAACACAGCCTGCAAACAGCATATGATTTTTCAAGAAAAAATGAATGTTAAAACTCTACTGTTCTCTCAGCTATCCAAGAGCCCGACATTTACAGACTTCAGGATGAAGTGGAATTTTACCGTAAACGACCGTGGAAGTGATGAGATTCCTCTTGAGTGGACACCAAAAGGTCTTGGTGTAACCACAGATGTTAACCTAGAGGTATCAGTTTTCTGGTAACTTCTCGGGAGAGAAGCTGAAACCTGAGCTGACCCAGTTTGAGCATTTGCCGAGTAGCGGGTAGACAAAAGAGCCGAGCTCTGCTCCTCTGCCAGGCTCTTTGGCAGAGCAGGAGCTTCATGAGCGGCCGAGGTCTCTGGCAGGTTCTCCTTGCACAGTTGTACAGCATACACACTTGTGCTGTAGGAGGTATCTTCTTCTGAAAGGTAATCTTTTGGTGCTGACTGTGTGGAAGGTGCTTTTTCTTCACTAAACACATCGTCATTCAGTGAATACGTCCATCTGGGTTCATGTTTTCGCTGCCGATAGGAGTCTTGGTCTCTGTCCTCCCTACAGGGACAGAGCTTGTTAAAATACCTGAGAAACAGTTGGGCTCTAAGTCTTTCAGCTACTGAATGTTCAAAAGAGCATAAACTGAGAAACACATCTCTAGTAAATGAAAAAGAATGGCATAATTTAAAAATATTAGTATTTTAATATATTTTTAAGTCTACCTTCTTCCCCCTCCTTCCTATTTCAACATTGACATAACATTCAGGTATACTACTGACACATTATCAGGTTGTCACCATGACTGATATCCCACTGCCAAGAAAATTACATAGCTATTCAAGTTACATATTTACAGAAATTCAGATTTTATTAAGGAAAGAATGGGAAGAAAGTCCCATAACATTGCTTGAACTGTATAACTCTGTTTATGTCTCCTCTCTATGGAAATGCTATACTAAACTTCAGATAACAAAATAATATGGTTTCCTGAAGTTTTCAGGTTGTTTTTTTTTTTTTTTTTTCCCTGCTATTCATTCCTTTGTCATAAAGGAACGATCACCACGGAGATAATCTTTACCGCGTATTTAAGATTCTGACAATATTGGATGTTCAATAAAATTAACTTCCATATTTTTATTCGAGAGACTAATTTTTGTCCTCACAAATAAGCCAAAAAATGCAGAAACTCAAAGCATTCTGTTTTAAGACTATATTTAAATGTATTTTATGAATACATACTATGTGTATATTCATTTCCTCTCAGTTTAAAAAAAAACAAACAAAAAAAAAAAAAAAAAACCAAACAAGAAAACAAACCAGAAAACCAAACTGTCAACCAGGAGAAACAGTACCATGCTACTCAGCTTATATTTTTCACTCTTCAAAGAGAATTTTGTTCTGTAAATACTCAGAGGAACAATTGGGAATATGGCAGAAATAAACTAAAGGTTTACAGTTCTGTGATATACATTAAAATTCTGCCTGTATATATCCACAGTGGTTAGAAGAACAGCAAGTGAAATGTTAGAGGAAAGACAAATAGTTAAGCTAATCCAAGAATAAAAAAGGAAATTATCCAGTTCAACACTCCATTGTTTTAACCTCTTTAGTGAGAAGTCGGTATTTACATCCACTTTACATTTATTTATGGATAGCAGAATAAAACATCATTTATTGAGCAAAACTGTTCAACATTCTGTGAAAACAATGCATTAGCAGACCATATTCTGCTCTTCAATTGCCTAGTTTTCTACAAAATAATTTTCAACTAAAATTGTTGAGATCTCTGCAGAATCAATTGCAACTTGCCAGTAAAAGCTGCTCAAGAATTCAAGGGAATAAAAACGCTCAGATTTAAGTTCAACATAATACTCCCATTAGGGTCATTACCTCTCCTGCTGCATTTCTTTCAGTGACTTGGTACTCCTTTCAGAAACCTCAGAGGCTCTCCTTTCTATTTCTTCTCTCTCTTCCTTTTTCTTTTGCAATTCAGAAGTGAAGCTCTTTCTACGATTCTTCCATTTTGCTAGATCCTACAAGAATATCATGAATGCATGCAGTCAGATTTTCTCAAGACCTCATAAATCTACAGAGGCTTACCATCACATGCTACCTACTGCCCTGATTCTGCTTGCATGTCTGCATCAAGGCTACACTTTCATGCACCTTCCTCCTAAATGATAAAGGGTTTCTCATATTTCAGTCAGGGTTACAGGCTCATTGTCTGTTAAAGTTAACAAATTTATTTATTGTACTATGAGTGGAAAAGTATATGTTTTGTCCTTTTTTTTGTTTGTTTGTTTTGGTTTTTTTTTGTTTTGTTTTGTTTTTTCCTTTATATTATCAATTTTATTTTAAAATACTTCACCCAATGACACAAAGTTGAAAACTAATGAAAATGCCATCTCTATTTCTTTGCTGTAGGCTTTGGACTTTGGGATATTATTTTTTTCCAGATCAATAGTGTATTACACTGATCAGTCAGCTTGAGAATAAACACACCTTAAATTCCAAATTGAAAACAAATACTTCCATATTTTCTTAATTTCTGTAAAACCACGGACACTGGCAATATTCTCCATGAAATACCAGAGCTCGGTTAAAAGATGTACTGAATATTAGAACCTGAGTTGCATTAAACAAACTATGAACATCTTGCTTGATTCTCTGTTATTAATTTCAGCTTCTTTTTTGGTAACCATTGCCAAGCACAGATTTTAATAAGAAAGAAAAGGTCTTCAGATAACCTTATGATGCTGTGCAAAGCTACCACATCAGTTTACAAGCTGTATTTAAGACAGAATTATTGGGAGATAGGAGCCTTGAGAATTTGTACAAGGAAAAGTTATTTCCCTTCTCCCAAAGGATCAAATACCCAGACATTCTAACTGTTTTTTTTTTAAAAAAGTATTCACAAATTTCAGATAACACATGAAAGTGTGCCCTAACTTTTCATGTCCACAGAAATCAAGCCTGAAGGCTTTATTACAATACATACAAGTCTTATTCTGAAGCATTAATCAGATACTTATGATGATATTTAAAATCATTTCAGTTTTGCATTAAACAGGCATCCCAAAAACCACTAGTAGTTTCATGAGATGGATCATTTTAGAAGACAGCACTATAATTGCTTCAGACATGCCAAAGCCTGTTTTCTAGGGACACTGAAGGTAGGTGGAACCCAGCCCTTCAGCAGGACACATGAAGAGAGGCGAAAAGGAGTACGTACTTCTTGCCACTTTAGATCTTGTTCTTGTAACTGTTCTTTTATCCTTTGCAGCTCTTCATAACGGATTTTGCGCAATGACTGCAGCTCCTCTGCTCTGACATCATTCAAAGATTTACTCCTAGAAAAAAAAAAAAGAGTACTCTGGCTTTATCACATCTTCGCCATCATCTATGCAAATAAAACCTGAGAGAGAGATATATATTTATATTAGTACAACTGAGAGCTCTTGAGTGTTATTTTGAATACAGCAGGAAACACATGGGCAGCTGAACGAGCAAGGCTGGGACGTGCTCCAGCACCAGCATTCAAGTCAGTAGTTGCATATTTGAGCAAATAAAATCAGGTTAAAGGAATAAGCATCTCTGCAGCAGCTCCACACTGAGCATTCACATTGAATTCCTCCTACCCAACTGCTTCTTCTGTTTAAACTTGTTACTCTCTTCACTGACCTTGCTCCTTTTTCTTTGACCTAAAAGGCATTCCCCCCTCCTCAAGTCAAAATCCTATCCTTTCACTTCTTTCTAGTAACAGCCCCAGAATCACCTTCTGTTCTTCCCTTCCTTAGGCTAATGATAAAATCAAGTCAGTTATTGATGCACATTCCTAAAGGATAAAACACTCATTCACTGCTAAATGCACAGTTCATGCATGTCATGGGCCCTACTAGCCTATATTACTCCTCCCCAAACCTCCCTGATGCTTTCCATCCAAGTCATGATGGCTAACACAGCCACCTTCCCACTAATTTCTACAACATGGTTACAAGTTTCCCACATGAGCTCATACTAGTTCCCTTCAATCTAAATTCCTCAAAGATCACCTTTATGTTTTTTTTTCCCCTCTCTCCAATGCTATTTTCTCCTTTCTTTTTTCACACCACCATGATAAACTTAACAGAACTTTAATTTAGGTAGAGGACAGGACTTCTGCTAAGTGCTGACCACAACTTGCTGACACCAAGCAAAATGCAGGTGTTTCAACATAAGGTTCAATGCTGTAATATAAAAGGAGAGCTAGGCTTCTGGGTTTTGGTTGTTTTTTTTTAAATACTTTTGTTTGCATTTATCTGAACAAAGTCTGAATGACAGATGGGTGTAACCAAGTTCTAACAGGACTTGAAAATGTGACACTTCTCTGATACGACAGAAAATCAGGTTAAAACCAAAACTGATTCAGCACAGGGCCTTGCTCTAATCTCTTACATACCAAGAGAGCTCTGAACTAACAAACCAGAATCTCTCACTTCCTCCCAAGACTTGCACCTCACTTTCATTGGTGACACGAGACTTTGGACTTTGGCCTCTAGAAACAAAGGCTAGGGCATTAACTCATTATACCTATTTGCTTGTTTATTTTCTGAATGGGAATGATGCCAAATTTAGTGAAAAATCTCCTGGTCACAACTACAGAAACTCTTTTCTTGTACAGTTCTATCTCCTTTCCTTTTTTTTTTTTTTTTTTTTTTATGGTTAATTTATATCACATGCAGAAATGGTTTTGGGTAACTGAACTGTACATAACTATCAAAATCATTCCAGATTAATTCAAGAAAACTTATGTAACTACAGCTTCCTTTTCCTTCTCTCAAGTTTCTATATCTTCCTGCAACAAAACAGGAAATTCCAGATCTGAATACAATATGCCCCAAGTAATGGTATAATCATACCAAGGAATAAGATGTTAGTTTCAATTCTAGTCTTAACTTCAAAAATCTACCTAGTGACTCGAGCCTTCTCTTCTGAGTCTCGCCCCCCCCCCCCCCCAACATTTAACTTCTGAAACATTTCTTGTTTTTTTCTGGAAGTGTTTAGTCATTTAACAGGTTTTGTCTCAGGGTAAAAATAGATAACTAACTAAATAAATGTACATTAAAAAAAAATTTAGAACACCATGCATAAACCAATTACTTAACATGCCATCACACAGTACACACAAAAATACTTCTCTTGAGTCACAGTACCTCATAAATAAGGCCTAAGTTCATATGGCATAACCACTAACTTTACCACTGATGATTCAATAACCTGGAGTATATGACCACAGAACATTCATCTCTCCCATGATAAACACCATGTCATTACTTATTTTCAGATTTTATCTGTACAGCCTTCAAAATAAAAATATTTACAAATCATCCTTTACATTTCTGAATGCTTTAAGGCCTAATTTAAATACAGAACACTGAGTACTTCACTTCAGCAGGTATAAAATATCACAGCTGATTTTCAAAATGCCTGATAACCATGACTCGGATACGCTAGGTGCCAAAGAGAACTCTTGCCAGATGCATAGCTTTTAGTCTTACATTCATTACATAAATTGCCCAAGCACAGAACGACAAAGCAGCATGCACAAGTTGCTTTCAGCATGAGTTTTTAGCTACTGTGCATGCACAAAAATTTAAAGAGGCAAAAATAGTGTTACGATCTTTTAAGCTTTTATAAAACTTACCCTTGCTCATCAGAAAGCTTTTGAAACAGTCTAAGAAATCAGAAACCAAAAAAGAAAATATTCAGTGTCTTGATATTCATAACAACATTAACACCATCAGTACACCAGCACTTTCACTAAGTGAAGGGGAAACCGAAAGCTTGAGGACCAGCCAGTGTGGAATAGCACATCAGGGATCAGACACTAGTCAAGAAACACATCAGGACTTGCATGATGTATAAGTTGGGCAGAAAACTGACAGAACAAGACTGCCTGTAAGTTTCCAATGCTTCTGATTTAGCAATACTACACAAATAGAGCCCTGTATTAATTCTGTACCACTTATCCCAGTGCTGCTGAACAACATGATGCTCAGAAGATACTCATTTCAAGAAATGAAAATTAATGCCAACTTGAGTCCCAACAAGACTTCCTTGTTACTTCAACCATCTCTGATACTAAGTGAAAGTAATACTCTTGGGATGGATAAGAATAAAAGGCCATATACAGAAGTTTAACACAGTAAGTGGAGAACCAAATTCATTCAGTGTGATTCAAGAGGAATTTTAGTATTCTGGAATGAGTATTTTATTTTATTGGATGAATTCTTAAAAAGTGGAATATTCCTCAGTGAAACTCACAGTTTGTTAACAGTATTAAGCTTAAAAATTAAATGCAGCAACATTGAAGTATCAACTGGAACATGGAAGTGTCTTAGTCACAAAGTAATGATGCACAGCTGGGAGAACTGCAACTTGCAATGCCGTATTTTCAGAGCTAAGGAAATATTTGAAACCTCACTCTCCCCCAATAAGCACAAAATGCAAAGGATAGCTAGGAAGTAGTTAAAAACAGTATTGAGTCAGAGAAGATAAATTTTGAGTATACCAGGAAAGGATTAGGGGAAAGTACTATTCAGGACTGTATGAAAGCAGAGGGAAAATACTGGCAGAATAAAATATGTCACAGTGGAATTTAATATTACATGGACACACATCCTGCATGCACCATGACTCGGAGTGGACAAAACACCACTAGTATGTGTTTTCACTTCATCTGATTATCTCAAAACTGTGACAGGACAGTTTACAAGCATTTTCAAACTTAGGTGCAGGCAAGAATATCAGAATGCCCATTTCCAGAACTTGTCATTAAAGCATTCATGTGTTTCGGAAATGTTTTTACCTAATCGGTAAAAACATTTCATTAGGGAAAAAAATGAAATATTTCTAGCCTCCAGAGTCTTTTGAATAATCACTATTCCTGTTCAACCATGGAAAGAAACTTATGCAGAACTTTGAGCCTGAAGGAATGATAAAATATTTTCTATAAAATAGCAGCCTAAACCTAGAAAACATTGTATTTTTTTTGTTGAAAATATGGTATTGCAGTCATGAGCTTCTATTCAAAGCATATAAAAAGCCTGTCTAGAACGCCACGAACAAATAGCAGGTTGGCACTCTATGAATGGTTCAGCACAAGACGATGCTTTTCGGAATGGAAAGGGTTCAACTGCACTCAAGCGCAATCCGTGCAGGACAACCTGACCTCTCCACCATCTGCCGTTTCTTGTGTCTAACTTTGCTGGCCTCCCTGATCGCTTCCCACTTCTTCCAGTCTTCTTCACTGCATGGACCTGGGATGAAATTTACTGGCTGGGTGTTGCTTCCCACCTTCCAAGATTCAATTTTACGGGTCAGCATATCATCCTTCTTATGGTGGGAAGATGGTGACAGCACTCTGCCATTGCTCTTTCTTTCCTCCGGAGTTGTGTTTTTTTCAAGTAAACATAGAAATTTGGACCGAATCTCCTCTGGAAGGCTCCATGGATCAGGAAAGAGTGCTGGGTGATACTTGTCTGGAGCACCTGATAAAGGCACCTCTTTTTTCTGAGAGAGGATTTTACGGAAAATCATGTCATCCTTTTCCAAATCTGGAATCACAGGTTGGCCCTCTCTGGGTTGCAAAATTATCTCACCCTCCAAGGGAGGATCCTGGTCAGAGAATTTTTTTAAATACCGGGGGTCTTGGAGAACAACTGGATTCACATGGAAAGCCCCCGTTTTCCGAACGAACAAGTCATCGTTTTCTAAATCTGGATACAGATATCCGTTTTCTGTGTCTCCTTGCTTGCATCCTGGTACAAAGGAAATATTCTTTCTACATTTTATGAGCCTAGGGCCAGAAGTAGGATCAATTTTGGTCTTCGTTTCAGAAGACAAGTAGTCAGAGTATTTTTGCAGGGCCTGAAGTAACGAAAACTGACTGAAGCATATAAAACAAAAGGAGGGAAGTAAAAATATCATTAACTAGCAAGAGACAAGCAGATTACAATGTATTGCGATACACATTTGGTTTAGACTTGCAGTATTCTGAGCGGTACAGCTACACCACTTGGCATTCACCACCAACCATAGCACAGCACACATCAACCAATGTAAAGGTATCATGGCATACTAACCTTCTCAGAAACAGCACGCATACATGCTCATAAACAAAGCCAGTTACCCTATGCAGCATGTTACGCTTTTACATTTACATATTTCAGAAGATCAGTAACTTTTGGTTACATTAAAACAAACAAACAAAAAAAAAACAACAAAACAAACAAACAAAAAAACCCAAACAAACCAAAACCCAAAACAACGACAACAAAAAAACCAAACCAAACAAAACCAAACAACCACCACCAAAATAGTAAAAAGCAAAAAAGCGCAACATCACAGGATATTGTTTAATTTCATTTAGCTGTTGCATATCCAGCCATTTCTTTTTGATGCAGCAAGAGTACCACTCATGCAGCAATATCAACCTGGGCTGATCAGAAGCCTCCAAGATTTTTCCTTCTGCAATCTGTGACAATGAGCTTCCCACATATTCAGCAACTGGTTTATAATTCTGATCCCTTCTGCAACTGCTGTTCCAGTCAAAACTTGGTCTTGGTTGATTAGCAACAATGGCAGAGCTTTGTTTGTAAGCAAATTCCTCATCCTCAGAATATGATTTCTTTCTACTGTGCAGCAGCACAAAGAATGAGCAGAGGGAAAGAAAAAAACAAACACATGAAGTGTACTCATTGAGTAAAATAAACAGTGGCAACAGCATGACAGTGTAATGAAAATAATTTTTCAATTATTTTCTCAAAAAAAAAAAAAATAGAGAAAACATATCCTGCTGCTACACTGGCAATAAAAATGAAAAATAAAAGCAAAGTCATACAACTACACTACTTATAGGTTTTGCACGCAGGAGAGAAACAGGGGCATGCATGAAAACGCACCTGAACCCTTGAATCTCTTTATACCAGGGTTTGAAAGAGGATTTCCTGATTTTTTTCCATAGCAACTCTTCTTCTGGAGTCCAAAACTTAGGAAGAAATTTGTCAAAAGCAACAACTCTATTTGCCGTTGAAGAACTTAGCTTGCGAAAATAGAGATCATCTTTTTCAATGTTTGGGATGCCTATTTCTTCTTCCTCGTCCTCATCAAAATACCCAGATAATTCTGAAGGAATGTTAACTCTTGGTTTGTTTTCCTCTTTAGTATCCAACTGCCTCTGCCTCCTCTGGTTACTGTTCAAAATACCCAATCAGTTAAGATATTTTAAGAGCAACTTGACATAAAGAATGCAAAAAGACATGCTTTTTGGCTCAGGAGTTCAACCTCGTGAATGAAGCAAATTAGTTCTCAATTCCATCACTGCAGCACCAGAAATAATAAAATATATTAAAAAAAAAAAAAAGTTAATGGTTATATCAGCATCCTATTGCCTCTGACAAAAATAAGAAGTTTGACAGAAAAGGCGTAACAAATTATCAGATGTGTTAAAATGACGATTAGAAAGCTAACTTTATGGAGTTATTTATGGACTGCAATCTAGGTAATACAGTAGTTACTAGATCTTGGATTAGTATCTCTGACCTCAGTGGTTCAAGCATTGCAGCTAGTGGACCAGCTGGATAACTTTCTTGTGAGCAAGATTTAGGAGAGTCATTGCGCAACACAAAATGATGTCCAGGTGCAGCAGAGCTTACAGGGCTCTTTTTGACTAGAAATCTACGTTTTGCTAAGTCATCCATAACCACGTCGGGCAGCTTTCTTTCATCTTCTGAATCAGAGTCACTGTCATACTCATAGATCATCTGGAGGGAAGCTGGATTTGTGAGCCCACACTCTGCTCTGCTATTTTGACAGGAAGCTACAGGATTCCTTTCACGTACACTGAGGTTGACCAAAACAGGAATAGAATTAAGACAGTGAAGTCATGAAGGCAATGATGAACCCCAAGAACTTCCCACTAATCTCATCTGTATGCACCAAGAAGCCAGACAACTGAAATTCATCACCATATTTTAGAAGGCTTTCATGAGAAACTAAAACTGTAGATCTCCCTCTTGTGAACTTGTATTTAAGAATATTTAAATTCCTTCTATATGGAGTCTGACAAGCCTCCAAACATTACTCAAACACCAGAAAACTAGTTATGTGGAACAAAGGAAAAAAAAAAAACAAAACCAAAACAAAAACCAACCACACAATCACACCAGAACATTCCTCCCCCCGCCCGTTAAAATATGGAAACTCAAATAGTTTACTTTGTATTGCAGCAACAGCAGCTTTTCTTTAACTCAAAAAGAAATAATTTATTTAAAAAGTCATAAATCAAAGTCCGCTTTACTAAGATAACACACCAGTACCTTGAAAATGTTCCATCTGACTCAGTGAAGACGGGACTTGCCCAGCTCCTCCTGTTGTCCTCATTCTTCTCTGTCCTCTTCTTCCTTAAGGGTGCTGGCACATACGCCGTCTGCTTATTTTTGTTGGGTAAGAAGCGATTGAAGTCAGCAGTAGGTTTTGGTTCAATCACAGAAATCCTACGGTAAGACCTGTCATCTTTATGGGAATCATGCATTTTGAAAGGCAGTTCTGAGTCTGTGTCACTGTCACAACCTTAGAAGAAAGAGAAGAAAAGAGAAGGCACAAACATAATTCTTTAGACTCAAGCTTCTATCTAGAACTTGCACCAAAATCTTCTAAAAATCAATTTAACTCCATGTTTGGGATGTTCTGCCTGCAAATTTGCTGAGCTAGTGACAGGACGGTAGCAGAGGTATTTTTAGACGTTAGTGGCAAAGCTGCGATAAGGTCCATTAAGCTGAGTTTCGTTTGCATACCCCTGCTACATTTGTTCCATTCCTTCATTATCACTGCTCGCTTCAGGAAACAAAGTGCAAAACTTCTAGACTACTGTACTGTTTTACAGTAGTCTTTAATTAAAAATATACTTGCCACTCAAATTTATTAATAAAGACAAGTTACCAGCAAACAGTATACCAACATGCTCACCTCACCAGATAAACATCCAGTAGAAACCCAGGGTATGTCACATATGTGGCATGGCTACATGTTGCTCCACAAGTGTTCCATGTGGCCTTGGCCCAATGATTTTGTTACTCACATGGAACAAAATCTAACAGCTCACTATTTTTCTAACTTTAAATTAGGCTACAAGTTTGTACTGAATTTTAAAACTGGGAGAGAAACAGATTAAAGTATAGCTGTAGGGATCCAATGTCACAAACTTTCTTCTTGTTACCTTTCTTTCCCTGACAAACTATCAAAAGTAACTACTATTTGTTTTTTAACCTAGGTGGGAAAACCACTACTGAATACTGAATATTCACAAATGGAGTGAAGACATAGAGGTTTACATATCCACACTAGGAAGAAGGCAAGAGACTTTTGCAAATGTTAAATTTTAGGTGAGCCCATCAGGATCTGAATTCTATCAATTTCCCTTCCTGAACTATGGGAACATACCCTGCACATACACACACCCTACTGGGGCAGTGAGAGCATAAGTCCCAGCAACCCTTCCTAGGAAAATTCATATAAACACTGCTTTGTTTCTACCAACTGTTAAAGGTCAATATTTGCTTAAGCAAAATGCAACCACAGCAGTTGCAGAACTGGAGTTGCCTTTCAAGCTGATTTAAGTATGGACCTAGTACTTTGGGTGCCCAATACATTGTCTTCTCCCACACACACATTAAGAAAAGAAAAACATACCTTCACTGCCACCTTTTAAGGTGATATCTGATGAAAAGCTTGTGGAGGATCTTGAACCAAGGGAATCCAGGCTATCAAAGGAATCGTCTCTTTTATGGCTAGCTGAAGATGAAAAGGTCTCTCCCCGGTCAACGTACCAAATATCACCATACCCACTATCCCTGCCACTTCTGTTCAGGTGGCTGGACTCTTCAAGTGCCTATGAGAGTAACATTTGAAAGGTCTTTTACAATAATTTAAGATGCCAATGTTACTCATGAGTTTTCACTCAAAAATATTTAAAATGCATTTTGAATGCACAAACCAATTTTAACAAAGATTATTACAAACTCCTAAAACCAGCTTGGATAGGAGATTCAATACAAAGTCTTAAATTTCTATTCTCAGCCAAAGGGAATCAAGACAAGGCTGTTAACAATTTACCACATCAATCAGAGCAGGTGGATTCTGAATTTTGTGATTAGATGGGCAGCAGGAACACCAGTGTAAGCTAAAAGTCATTCCTTTCACATGGACTTTGATAACAAGCAAAACAAACAAAACAAATTACTATGTTCTCGATAAATAAAATTAAACCCCCAGGACACTGTTTAGAGCTGATGCCATGAGGTATAGCCAACTATGTAATTGAGGCTATTTGTTTACTGTTTTCTTGAGTTCCTTACCTTAGTCAGTGCTTGCCCTAATAACTTCTCAAATGCTTTAAGATTGAGGTAGGGACCATTATAATGAGGGTTACTCTGAGCTTTTCTCCCAAGCCAGTATAATGTAATCAAAACCTAAAAACAAACAAAAAAAAAACCCAAATACAAACTTAATTACTTTCCTCTCATACCATGTACCAGTATAAAAGAATCTCAGCATGTTGTTAGACATGTTTTCCACAATTAATTGTAAAATCTTGTTTACAGCATTAGCTATGATCTCTGTCAAAATCAATTAAAGAATGTTGCAATGCATCTCATGTATCTCAAGTAGGCAGATATAAGTATTGTTTCAAATTATTACATTTATTTGGGAAAGTAAGCTCTATCGTAAGATGGCACTATTTTGCATCAGATAAATGAACAGCTGAAGAATAAAGTAAACATGATAGTGCCATAAACAGAGGTTTTTAAAAAATATTTAATCAGAACCAGTGTGAAATCATTTCAGAAAGCATTGAAGTAGATGTGTCTTACATTTTTCACTCTTCTGTTGGTCTCCTCTGGTCTGAAGCAGGGCAGGAAGTGAGAAAAAAAAAAACAAAACAAAAAGTTTTAAAATCTCTGACTTTAAATTTAATTATTATTCAAGATCTAAAAGGTTTCAAGCCCAGTTAGAGGCCAGTATAAAATATGCAACTATGATTGTTCCAAAAGAAATAAAAACAATTTTCCTTTCAATTCTTAGTCATAACTCTGTACTGTTTCAATCATTAAATCTAAAGCAAAAAACTAACTGATCTATTGCAGTTTCTGATTAGAAAAGTACTCAGAAAGGCTCTAGGCTTTTTTATTTCACTAAGGTTTTTACTTACCAACAAAGTGGAAAACAAGCTAATGACTTTGGGAAATACAGACTCTGTTAGCCACAAATATCTTTATTTCCATAAGAAAGCAGTTTCAGTTGTTACTTTTTCCCTGATTGTATTAGGTTTTCTAAAATATTTTCCTCAGACACAGAGAATGATTCAGCCTAGAGAGAATTTTTCAGACAAAAAAAGTGAGAAACTGAAACTGGGACATCTGGAGGGAGATGTTGTAGGGCTGGAAGGAGGGGTTTGGTTTGCTTTTATGCAAAATACCTGTTTCTCAAAAAAATACTGATTAAATAAACTTTCTCTTTTCTATATAGCAAATTTATGGCACACCTCAGAACTGTGCCAATGCACACTCACAGTGGTCCTGTTCTCCTGCTCATTTTAAGAGCAAGAAGAAGAAACTTTGGATGGGAGCCTGCCAAAGGTGGGGTATCACAGACTCAATCCTCAGGTGTAAATACTCAGAGCTGGACTGGAGACAGCAGCTGAACAACACTCCCACCCCACCCACACTGCCAGCAGTTATGGAAGGGCACACGGCTTAAATACACCAGAACAACTTTTCATCTGCCCCAGATGCTGTTGTTTAGGGGCTGGTTCAGTGGCAAGCTTCACACACAGCATGGTGAAGGGGTTCAAACAAAAAAGTGGAGAATTAACATACAACAGCAGAAACACGTATGCAGAGCCCCGTAACAGGTCAGATCAATGGCGTATAAGGGCACCTATCCTGTTTCTGGCCATCTAGGAACACTCTAGTCAAGGTTGCAGGGAAAATGCAGAATAAACTGTTCCAGGGAGAATTAGGAGTTAGCAAAATGATGACAGGGCCTTGTGAATCTAGGTGGCACTTTTCATGGAAATACAGTATTTGATGCAAAGTGACAATCAGCAGGAACAAAGATCATCCCTCCTTTTCTTTCTTCCTATATTGAGAGCACCTGCTCCCACTCAGTGTTATTGCCTGTTGTAGGCTATAATTGCCTTGCCCATCCCCACACCATAAAGAAATCAGGCTGCCAGGAACACAAAGTCTTAAGATGGATATCTGACCTGCACTGTCCTCACCTGCAGCTCCCTTAATATCACATGTCTGAGATGGCACTGGTTACAGTGACCTCTTTCTCATGGATAAGGAGGAACGCTTCTCTTTTAATGTGAAATATTTACATTTTTTTTTTTTTTTAAAAAAGTACCTCCGGAACACATTTTTGACCTTTTTTCACTGGAGACTATTTTTGAAAAGAATTTACTCTTACTTTTCTGCAGTACGTGGATTTCTTTTCCAGTGTCCATGCTGCAGGACACACTATGGCTGTGACCTAATGTGCTGACTAGAGACAGGTTGGTTACCCAAGCAGAGGATGGAAAATTATTCTTGTAGTGGTGTGTATCAACATTACACTTTCCACACCCAAGGGAGAGCATTTTAAAGGTTTACCTTCTTTAGCTTCAAGGTCTAAAAGCTTTTCATTAGCAGAATTTCTGCTGTTATTTGCAATTATAAAAGCAGAGGCCATGCATGCCCTTGCTAAGGCTGCCTTAAAATTTGTTTTCAAACTTCAGCAGTCTAGTAAGAAGTGAAAAACTCTGCCCTTAGTCAGCTGGAGCCTGCATCCAAGAGTTTGCCAACCTTCATGTAGAGCAAAGCTACATGACTTAACATGATGACGTCCACTTCTGCTTTCCATGAGTTTTCTGGGATCATTTAGGTCAACTGTTTGCAACAGGAGCAACATTCAGGTGACTTTATATTTCAATATATTTTCTATACTGGAATAGCTATATATACACTAGGCCTGTGTACTTGGGCTATAAACAATGCAAAACTTAGGGCAGTCAGGTAAACCAATGAGCACACTTAAGACCCAAAATGCAGGCAGGGAGATATTACACACACTCAAACAACAGACTGTGCTCCATTCACATTTGCTCAGCTAACAATGGAAGCAAATGGACAAATTCTTTAGTCTTCATGAGCAAAGTTTCTTCACTCACATTACTACTCTCCTTCTCTGAACTACCCTATTGATCTCCAAACCTTTTCAGCAACTTGTCATGATAGACATAGTGTGAGCAGAAGAAACAACAAAACAAGAAAGCATGTCAAAAACAATGTCAAACCCCAGATAACAAAGAGGTCTGAAAATTCTAAAAGTACAACTTCTAATTCACAAAGTATGAACCTTAATTGTTGGCAGTGGTTTCAATAAAAGTTTATGTACAACTTCAAGATTAGCTATCCTGGAAAGTGTCTATCCAACATAGCAGGAAAGTCTAAAGGCCATGAGATAACAATATGTGGGAGTTATTATAATAATTATGAAGCACAGCTGCATGATTCCAAGTTGAAAACTGATGCAGAAAGATGTAAAATAACCACCTGCAGACAAATAATACCTTCTGTGTAAAATAAATCACCTCATCTACATCAGTCCTTCAGCAAACAGAAAAAAAAGACAAATGGCATAGAAATAACTCTCACTTGTTAGTAGGTGATACGTTTAGAGAACAAATACTTCCACTACATCTGAACACAACACATATTCACAGACATCACTTATGCCTGGCTAGTGCAGACCAATGGATATTTCCCTAGCGAGGACCAGTCTACAAGAATAAAATAAAGTGACATGGCAGGTTAGCAGGCTGAGCCACAGCTTAAGGAATTTATCATCAGCTCCACTGTTTGCTCAAGGTTAAATAGCAAAATTAGTCATCAAGGCCCTATCCTGACAATACAAAAGCTTTGGCAGCAGCTGTAGCTTAAGGATTTCCTGGTCTCCTTTTCCCTTCCAGCCACTCCTGTTTGCTGCCCTGCGGTTATGCCGACGTGAATCTGAATCACACTGTGGTTCCACATTGCGCATCAGGACCAGAGGGCTGTGCCCATTTCTTTGAGTTTTTCCTAATATACATTTTCAAACTCCCAATTAACTCGCTCATCCCTTTTTACAGCACACTCGTACAAGCAACTGTGTCAGCACCGCTGCAGAGGCAACGCATTGCCGCAGAGGATGGGGCAGGGGGCTCAGTGGAGGAGGACACCCTGCTCCACACACCAGTACCGTGAGAGTCACCGTGTGACAAAACTATCAATTCATTACATCAAATTTACTTTGACACTTAGGTTTTTTTCAGAGATAACATCAACGTGGAGCTCCAGACTGAATCCAACACACCAAGAAGTCAGAACAAAATGCTGGAGGATGATTTTACAGCATGCTCTTCAGAAAGCATGGCCTTCTGAGGGTCTGTTTCTCATGTAGAAACATACTTACAGTATAGATATCATTCTATCATTAAAAAACCCAAACAAACAAACAAACAAACCAACCCAAAAAGCTAGATCAGAGAATCCCCCCTGCCCTATATGAGCATTATCTGCCAAGAAGAGGCCACATGGTTGTGCCCCGAGAGATACGATAAATCCAAATCCATTTATGGGGAGAAGGGACAGACTCTCCCACTGATAGAAAGGAATGTGCCAGGGACAAATGCACCCTGCCCAGTGCCAAACCCTCCCCCTGGTGATGACTTCTACAAAACCCCAACAGCTGACAAAGCTATCTGTTTTCTGTCCCTTTCTCTGTACTACAGATGTCACAAACATAGGACTTAGACTTCTTTTTAAAGAAGTATCAGTACTCTCCTTTTGAACTTCCATCCATCAAGGCAGCAGTTCCACCGCCCAGATGCCCTTTGAAAGACTTGGAAGTATCGTGCCCTGTCCTGGAAGCTGGGGCAGATCAGCAGGCTGCAGAACAAGCCCACTCCCGAGCTTCTCACCAAGCTCCAGACAATCTAGCCTGACACCAACCAGCTTCACTTACGCTTCTGAGGAAAACGTCGGAGAGTTTGAAGGATTCTCCACCCCCGCTGAGGTATGCTGCGCAGGAGACGAACGCCGGCTGTCCAACTAGCAGCAGGCTTGTGCTAAATTTCAACCTCTTTGGCCACCTACTCAACTGCTATTAATATTGCCGTTATCGGATCTCACTAAATTCCCACGTGCTGCTGAGAATAGAAAGGCTCCAGTGGAAGATGGGGCTGTCGCATGGGTACAGAAACATGAGGACATTCCTCCAGCACTTGGATTCTTAGCAAACTGATATTCAAACCCGAGAGCCACAGTTCACTGCCAAGATTGCTGGAAATGAAATGGTCAGGTTATGGCTGCAGAATTCAAGAACAGGTTTTGGAAACACACCTTTCTATCTGACTACAAAAAGCATGTGTATTTTCATAGCAACATATCCACCAGACCCAATGCCACTTATATTGTGACAGCACACAGAATTGGGTATAAAATGATGCAAAAAGCATTTCTCCATGCCCCTACAAAACCAGCAGCTAGCAGCAGGCAGCTCTGTGGACCCTGATGACCAAGTAGACTGTCCTCACCCTACACCCTCACCTCCTAACGAAGGGGTTGATGGGTAGAGAAGAGATGCCCAAGAGGGGAAAGGCGGAGAGGCAACGCAGTTGGCTGACACCCTCCATGGGAACGTGTCCCCGTCCATTGCCTCAGAGCCTCTCCTCTCATAACACCTCTTGAGCATGGCACTTCCTTGCTGATCTCACCCATTATGCTTCCATGCTATTCTTAAATCCCTTATCAAAATAAAAAACACACACTTCTAGAAATGTGCATCAGCCTCGGCAAGTCACCAGACATTAACATTATCCA